TGTCGCATTAGGTCTGTAAAACAGATTGAAACGGCCCATGTCAGACCAATACTAAAGAAGTTAAACCTTGATCCAGAGTGTCTTAAAAACTACCGACCAGTATCAATTTTATCTCTCGTTTCGAAAGTCATCGAGAAAGTTATTGCTGAACAACTCAAAGAACATCTAACTCGTGAGAATCTCTCAGAACTATTTCAGTCCGCATATTGAGACAATCATAGTTTTAAAACTGCACTAGTCAGACGGAGTAATGACTTATTGCTGGCTGCGGAGGGGAGAGTGACGTTTTTAGGGGGGGGGGGGGCTCACCCGGCACAGTCTACAGTAGGTATTTTAGATATGGTCGACCGGCAATTTATTTTTTTTCGGGGAGGGGACAAAACATTTTTCAGGGGGGGGGGGGGGGGGGCATTGCCCCCTTGCAGCCTTGCCCCGCGCTGGCTACAGGCCTGTTGTGTGGTATGGACAATAAGTGTGTCATATCGTTTGTTTTGCTTGATCTATCTGCAACATTCGACACTATTGATCATAATATTCTAATTTACAGACGCAAATATAGGTTAAAAGTATAAGACTTATCTTATTCAATCATACTTATCTAATCTTAATCAGATTGTATATGCATGTAGAAAATGCTAAATCAAATCCAGTCCAAGTAAAATTTGGTATTCCCCGTCGTGAAATCATCTGCAAACACTGTGAAGACTACCATCTTTTTGCAGACGACACTCAACTCTATCTAATAGGGCCACCATGTGATATTCCAGACAAACAACAGTAATTGGAACGCTGCATGGAGGGCATTAGAGTATGGATAACTGCAATCTTTCTTAAACTGAATTCTGACAAAACAAAGTACATGACCATTGGTTCAAAATCATATGTGTCATCATTAGATAGGCACTCCATTCGTGTTGGGAGTGATCAAATTAACCCCGTTCAATCTGTTAAAATTTGGGTGTTATATTTAACACTACTATGGATATGTTCCAAAGTAAAAGTTCGGTGCTAAGACCACCTAAAGATAAATTTGAAATGTTCCTATTATTAATTAGAACAGGTTTCGCTTTAGTTTTTATATTTTACGTTGACATTTTATTGCTTTAAATCTTCCTAGTGCAAAAACGGTAAATTTCACCTTTTGACCTCCAGGGTCACTAAGACTAAAGGTGAATTTAGCAAGTTTACATTTTTATTGAAAGTGTGATTACTTTCGATCATTTTCAGCTTCTTTCCATAATACAAGAATGACTGCGCATTCACTTTCAGTGCAAATGAACCCATTTGACCTTTGATCCCGAATATCTCGAAAACGCCCCAACGGCGGACTGATTACCACTCTGCATCGTATTCTACGCAAAATTTTACTCTAGAAAAGTTGGGTCTGGTTTTGTGCCCAATTGATGGAACACCCCCCCCCCCCCCGCGCGCTGAGCCTCCCGTCTATTCGCTAATTACAAAAGATACAAAACACTGCTGCACGTGTAATCACCAGAACAAAACTCCATGACCATATTACACCTGTGCTCAAATCCCTTCACTGGCTGCCCATAAACAGACGTCCCTTCACTGGCTGCCCATAAACAGACGTATTCAATATAAAATAATCCTCCTCGCTTACAAGTGCATCCATGGTTTAGCCCCTGACTACCTAAGTGATCTACAAATCAAAAAGTGCTTTTTAGGCTAATGATTGATTCTTCCTGAAAATCAGGTGACAATTTTTTTTTTCGGACAAATAGTCCCTCCGCCCCCACACCCACTCTCTTTAATTTCAATTCATCCAAAGGGAGATAACCCCGGTTTGTAGGAAATTCGATCGGATAGATTTCGGAATGAGACCAGCAATCGTTCGTATTTAGTTTACCTTTCTATTTATTGCAATTCTTTCGAATTTGTGTTCCGGAAGAAAATATACATGAATTTAGGAAAATATCTGCGAAAATAACATCACCGCCTACAGATTCCTTTGACAAGGTTCTTTGTGGCCAAACAGCTTAAGATCATCGGAATGATTAAAAAAAATATAGGGAGCCACGGTGGCTAGATGGTTAAGACGCTGGCTCGCTAGCCTGGAGGTCGGGTGTTCGATCCCTGCATTGGCCGAGAAAATTCATCTGGATTTTCCGACGTGGTTTCCCCTTGTCAGTGGTGCAGAACGGGGGCCTGACAAGTACAGCTGTCTAGTCCTTCGGACTGGAATGCATGTAAAAGATCCCTTGGCAGTTGGAATTCGATATAAGTGCCGCTGCCCGGGCAAAATTCCCCTCATAGCAAACAACAGTAATTGGAACGCTGCATGGAGGGCATTAGAGTATGGATAACTGCAATCTTTCTTAAACTGAATTCTGACAAAACAAAGTACATGACCATTGGTTCAAAATCATATGTGTCATCATTAGATAGGCACTCCATTCGTGTTGGGAGTGATCAAATTAACCCCGTTCAATCTGTTAAAATTTGGGTGTTATATTTAACACTACTATGGATATGTTCCAAAGTAAAAGTTCGGTGCTAAGACCACCTAAAGATAAATTTGAAATGTTCCTATTATTAATTAGAACAGGTTTCGCTTTAGTTTTTATATTTTACGTTGACATTTTATTGCTTTAAATCTTCCTAGTGCAAAAACGGTAAATTTCACCTTTTGACCTCCAGGGTCACTAAGACTAAAGGTGAATTTAGCAAGTTTACATTTTTATTGAAAGTGTGATTACTTTCGATCATTTTCAGCTTCTTTCCATAATACAAGAATGACTGCGCATTCACTTTCAGTGCAAATGAACCCATTTGACCTTTGATCCCGAATATCTCGAAAACGCCCCAACGGCGGACTGATTACCACTCTGCATCGTATTCTACGCAAAATTTTACTCTAGAAAAGTTGGGTCTGGTTTTGTGCCCAATTGATGGAACACCCCCCCCCCCCCCCCCCGCGCGCTGAGCCTCCCGTCTATTCGCTAATTACAAAAGATACAAAACACTGCTGCACGTGTAATCACCAGAACAAAACTCCATGACCATATTACACCTGTGCTCAAATCCCTTCACTGGCTGCCCATAAACAGACGTCCCTTCACTGGCTGCCCATAAACAGACGTATTCAATATAAAATAATCCTCCTCGCTTACAAGTGCATCCATGGTTTAGCCCCTGACTACCTAAGTGATCTACAAATCAAAAAGTGCTTTTTAGGCTAATGATTGATTCTTCCTGAAAATCAGGTGACAATTTTTTTTTTCGGACAAATAGTCCCTCCGCCCCCACACCCACTCTCTTTAATTTCAATTCATCCAAAGGGAGATAACCCCGGTTTGTAGGAAATTCGATCGGATAGATTTCGGAATGAAACCAGCAATCGTTCGTATTTAGTTTACCTTTCTATTTATTGCAATTCTTTCGAATTTGTGTTCCGGAAGAAAATATACATGAATTTAGGAAAATATCTGCGAAAATAACATCACCGCCTACAGATTCCTTTGACAAGGTTCTTTGTGGCCAAACAGCTTAAGATCATCGGAATGATTAAAAAAAATATAGGGAGCCACGGTGGCTAGATGGTTAAGACGCTGGCTCGCTAGCCTGGTGCAGAACGGGGGCCTGACAAGTACAGCTGTCTAGTCCTTCGGACTGGAATGCATGTAAAAGATCCCTTGGCAGTTGGAATTCGATATAAGTGCCGCTGCCCGGGCAAAATTCCCCTCATAGCACACTGTATGGCGTATGCCCGTCTTCATTAGCCCAGTATAGGCCCAGTTATAGGACGTTAAACCCCATTTCATGATTAAAATATGTTATCTATAGACAGAGACATCAAAACATTAAATTGGCGTTGAGTGGTTTGCATTTTTCGGAAATATCAGATTTCTCACTGATCCCCACGCTAATATGTACTCAGATCGATTAAACATACATTTTGCAAGAGCTAATTCTGCCTATTGCAAGTCTTTCTTTTGGCATCAAATCGTATATAAATTATTAATTAGGCATTTATATACTAACAAGCCCAACCTACTCTATTGACCAGAGGATGGGTTTGATTTTAATTTAATTTTCTGGAATTTTCAATTTCTTTCTTTTTTATTATCAATTTTCCGGAGCCACGGTGGCTAAGTGAGTTAGACGCTGACTCTTTAGCCTGGATATCGCGGGTTCGCTCCTGGTGTTGGTCGAGAAAGTTCATCGGGATGTGGTTTCCCCATGTCAGTGGGGCAGGGCGGAGGATCTGACAAGCACAGCTGTCGCTAGTCGTTCGGCTAGGACGAAAATCCGAGGTCCTAATGAACACATTGCATGGCGTGTATGTAAAAGTTCCATTGGCATTTGGAATTCGATATTAAGAGTAGGCCGTAGGTCAAATTTTCCCCCACAGCACACTATGTGGCGTATGTCCGTCTTCATTAGCCCAGTCGAGCTGAACAGTATAAGGACGTACAAACCCCGCCATCTCATTTCATTTCATTTCAGGTCTATGCAAGTTTGTTTTTGACCTACATATATCGTAGGCTACATGCAGATTTATCTGTTATCTACCCTTTTAGAACTAAATCCAAATTTATTTATAAAATAAATGCAGAGAAAACAAAATTAAAATTGGCTTATCGAGTAGACATATGGCCTTTAGTACATGATTTTGCTTTGTCATCATACAGTAACATGGACCTTTTATAATAATGTATTATGGTAACATATACCCATGCAACATATAAATTAATTTACGAACAATGGGACACTCATGGCAAAATGGAACTTCTAAAGTAAAAGGGGTTTTATTTTCATTTCATAAATTCCTAACACAAGGGTTTTTGGGGTCTATTTTACGACCGAGATTTTGTGCTTAGTCAGGGTTTTTTACAATTATATAAATCCTTGCATGAACAAACATACCATGTGACAGTCACGTGATGTTGATATGTAAAACATGAAATTTTGTTTGGAAGAAATTAGTCTCGGAAGAGATGTATAAATCTTTTTTTTTTTTGATTGACAGCTTGGTGTCATTACGGTTGATGGATTGAACTAGATGGGGCTGGATGATCACGCTAATTATCAAGATCTTTAGTTTTGGAGGTAGAAAAATGATTAGGAGAGTATGGCGGCTGCTTTTGAGAAGTTCTGTGATAATTCGCCAATTTGGGTAAATAGAACTTGTTATTTCAAATTTATTCCTGATTTTCAGATAATTTAGTTTCATAAATGCAAACAAAAAGTTGACTCTTGTCTTAATTATTTCTGAATTTGTTTGCCATCTAAATAGAGTTGCATTAAACATGATGGATGATGGAACCGGTGTTGCTGATTCAACAGTCACACCACAGTGATTTGACTTTTGTTTTAGTTCCCTGTGTGGCACGGTAAGGCCGACCTTAGTTTTAGTTACGCAATAAAAGACCTAAATATTGACACTGTTTTTACAAAAATTATTAGTCATACTGTACGTATAATAGGTCTTCCATAAAGGATGCACTGGACATCAATGAATAATACTATAACTATTGTATAGAAATTGCTCCGAACTGGCTAATGAAGACAGGGCTATTGACTGTATAGTAATAGTAGGGTGACCCACCATAAATAAATATCTCCAAATATCTCGACAATTACGCCACAATATTTATATATATGCCAAGCCTCAAATCAGTTCCACACAATTATAGTCCCTAAATAAACGATCATGTTGTACTTAATAAGCTATGACCATTAATCATCTATAAATAATAGACTGAAAACTGGTTCCAAGTGTCGTCCATAACATCCAGACACTTTTTAGTAAAAGATAGGTTACGTGCCCTTGTTTTGAAATTAGTCTCGCTTAATCAGTCTATCGACCATTCTACGTCTGATTGACAGGTTTGGATAATCAAGACTACTTTTTTACGAAACATAACAGAAAGCTAGAACAAGAAATTGAATTTAGAAATTAGCACTTTAGCCAACTCAACAATTGTTTTAAGAAACTTGTAAAAGTAAAATGAGTCTCATGGAAAAAACAGGTTAGTTGTGACACGTCTGGCTTTTACAGATTTTGCCTGGCACCATAGCTGCCCGTCTAAACTTGCAACTATTGTTATTAAACTTTTGCATTGACAAATTTGGATTGGATGTTTCGTACATATTATATAGGTCCTTTAGATCATGAATTATTTTTATGACCACGTTTCAGTATCTGTCGAAAAAACAAAGACAGGTATTTATTTATTCAGAAATAATTTGACATGAACTTGAATTTTGTGTTGATAATTACTTGATAATATTTGCTGTTGTATGCAAGTTTTGCCTCTACGCTAGGGTTGGCAATGGGTACATGTACTGTATGTTTAATGAGCCATATACTGGTACACAAAATTGTCTTATTTTGGATTTTTCATGCATTAATGAGTTTGCAAGGTGAAATTTGAGGGACTACTATTGTTCTGCTGTGTTTTCTGGTTACTTGGCTTTCCATAATAATGAAGGCCTACCAGTTGACTAACAAAACTGTTATGGTTGCTTATCTTATTATTTTGCAGCTAAAAAATTAAAGTTATCTAGCCAAACTGAAAAAAAATTATTTCACAGTACGTACATGAAATGAAATGGGTTTCAAGTCGTACTTTTCTGTTCATTAGCCCATTTCATTTCCAACCCGGAGGAGGTTTGTGTGGCCAAAACTGGCGGGGTTTCGATTCCCCGGATGTACATGACAAGGAGTAGGGTCGCCTGTCCAACCTCGTGGGTTTTCTCCGAGTCCTCCGGTTTCCTCCCACTGCTAAAGACCCCTACGCGCAAGCAAATTATTGAAATAAAATTGAACCATGTGTTAGTCCCAAAATGACCTAGTTTTTGTCGAGTGGACGTTAAACCCCATTTCTCTATCTCTCTATCTCTCTCTCTTGTGTGGCCAAATGGTATAACGCATGCACGTCAGATCATAAGGTCTGTTATTGAGTCAAATGGCATGGTTTCGATTGCCTGCTTGTGTGACAAGGAGTAGGGTCGCCAGTCCAACCTTGTAGGTTTTCTCCCACTAAAGACCGCTTCCCGCAAACGAAATGTTGAAATAAAAATTGAACCATGTGTAAGTCACAAAATGACCTAGATTGTGTTGACTGGAGGTTAAACTCTCTCTCTCTCTCTCTCTCTCTCTCTCTCTCTCTCTCTCCAGTTGAGATTGTTATATACATGTAGATATAGGTAGTACAAGATCTGTCTGTGAGTGCAATAACTGTGTAAATAAGACACATTCACCCTCTGAACTCTCTAGGGCAATAATAAACAGGTTGATATATATATTATGTAATGTGGTTCTTGAACTGATTATGCTTGATGTTTACAATGGTTGATGTACATGTACGGTAACTGTTATTAAGGGATATCTTATCCAGTAGAGGGGGCGAAGGCCATTGGCGTCGATTTCAGGGGTGCAGCCAATCACAGTGGGTGATTCAGTCAAGATGAATAAAATATGAAATTATCGCTGTTTACTTTGTTGTACAACATGGCATGCCCTATTTAATTTGAATACAATGTTTATTTCATCTGTTTGACATAAAATATCTTCCTTTCTACTAGTTTCTCCTACACTTGAATCTTGGAGGCATACATGTACATCAATGAATTGACTGCTGGCATCATCAAACCTCTGCATGCTACTAATTCAATTCACCACTCAGGCAACTTTTGTTAGAAAATATTTGTAGACAGATATAGATAAAAATTTTGTAGACAGATTTGATATGAAATGAAATGGGGTTGAACGTCCTACTGTTCTGCTCGGAACTGTACTAAAGAAGATGGGCATACTCCATACAGTGTGCTATGAGGGAAATTTTGCCCAGACAGCTGCCAATGTGTACACGGGACCTTGGTTTTTCATCCCATCCGAACGACTAGACAGCTGTCCTTGTCAGGCTCTACGTCCTGCATCACTGACAAGGGGGGAACCACGCCGGAAAATCTGGATGAAATTTCTCAGCCAATGCAGGGATGGAACACCCGACTTCCAGGCTAGCGAGCCAGCCTCTTGCCCACTTAGCCACCGTGTTGATGAAACATTTAACCCTATTCCATTCATTATCCCAGCATAGGAGCAGAACAGTGTAGGACGTTAAACCCCATTTCATTGTAACGGTGCATAGAAATAGAGCCAGCGCCTTACCCACTTACCCACCGTGACCTCCCAGATGCAATATAACCACCTGTAAAGTCGCCAATCATTATTTCAGACAATATGTAATTTTTCACGGGTTTAAATCTCGCTACATTCGACTTAAATTGATTATTTATTTAACATTTGATTAAATAAATGACATCAAAGTATCTACAGGGGCTACGGTGGCTCAGCGAGTAGGATGTTGGCTCTCTCTAACATGGAAGTCCTGTGTTGATCAGGATTTTCCTGCGTGATTCCACTTGTCAGTGGTGTATTCTACCCTTCAGAAACCTAGGCTTTTTAACGGCAGTTTAGAAATTGTGTCAACTGTCGGAAAATAACTTTTTATACGCCCACATTGAAATGTGGTCGTATATTGTCGTCGCCCCCGTCCGTCCTTCCGGCTGGATGTCCGTCCGGCGTCCACAATTGCTTGTGGACGCTCTAGAGGCTAAAGTTAATATCCGATTGACTTTAAATTTATATACAGTGTTTAAGGCCATGAGACGAAAAAGCCTATTGATATTCAGCGATTTCCGATAATTACTGCCAGAGTTATGGTCCTTGATCACTTCAAAAAATCTTGTGGACGCTCTAGAGGCGAAAGTTAATATCTGATTGACTTTAAATTTATACACAGTATTTAAGGTCATGAGACGAAGAAGCCTATTGATTTTCTGCCAGAGTTATGGCCCTTGATCACTTCAAAAAATCTTGTGGACGCTCTAGAGGCCAAAGTTAATATCCGATTGACTTTAAATTTATACACAGTGTTTAAGGTCATGAGACGAAGAAGTCTATTCATTTTCAGCGATTTCCGATAATTACTGCCAGAGTTATGGCCCTTGATCACTTCAAAAAATCTTGTGGACGCTCTAGAGGCGAAAGTTAATATCCAATTGACTTTAAATTTATACACAGTGTTTAAGGTCATGAGACGAAGAATCCTATTGATTTTCAGCGATTTCTGATAATTACTGCCAGAGTTATGGCTCTTGATCACTTCAAAAAAACCTTATGGACTCTCTAGAGGCCTAAGTTAATATCCTATTGACTTTAATTTTATTCACATTGCTTAAGGTCATAAGACGAAGAATCCTATTGATTTTCAGCAATTTACGATAATTGCTGCCAGAGTTATGGCCCTTGATCACTTTGAAAAATCTTGTGGACGCTCTAGAGTCTAAAGTTAATATCCGATTGACTTTAAATTTATACACAGTGTTTAAGGTCATGAGACGAAGAAGTCTATTCATTTTCAGTGATTTTCGATAATTACTGCCAGAGTTATGGCCCTTGATCACTTCAAAAAACCTTGTGGATGCTCTAAAGGCTAAAGTTAATATCTGATTGACTTTAAATTTATAAACAGTGTTTGAGGTCACGAGGCAAAGAATCCTATTGATTTTCAAAGATTTCTGATAATTACTGCCAAAGTTATGGCCCTTGATCACTTTGAAAAATCTTGTGGACACTCTAGAGGCCAAAGTTAATATCCGATTGACTTCAGACTGATACACAGAGTTTAAGATCTTGAGACGAACAAGTATATTGATTTTCAATGAATTTTTATGACTTGGAACAGCTAAATCCATGATACAGTATTAAAAGTTTTGTATACAAAACGTTAGCATGGGGCAGAACTTTATAAAAACCAAACAAATTCTAATGGTTTTCTGAGTTGTTGCTCTTAATCAGGTTTAAGTGTATTATAAATGTTTCATTACCGAAAAATATGCGACAACTCTTGTTGACTGCCCGGACGATTTAGCTGCTGTGGGTGTATGTTTCGTTGCCTGGCAACCTATCTTTTTGTTTGTGTATTTCAGAATGATAGTTTGATATTGAACAATTCGTGGCCACAGTTTACTGATTGCTTCCAAGAGACAGTGTTGATATGGGTGCCATGTGGATGGTTGTGGGTGACTTTACCATTTTATATTGGCTATGTACTGTCAAGTCAAGATGGCATTCCTATACCTGTCAACTCCTTCAACCTGGCTAAAACAGTAGGTTTAATTTTTTAATCTGAAATACAGTGAAAGATGAACTTATTGTTACTTAAATTCTTCTTTATATTATTCAGTGGCTTATCACCACATGATGTCATTAGTCATAAGTTCTTTCCTAATGATAAAAGTATTAAACACAATATATAGACAATGCCTATATTAGACATATCAAATTAGTGTCAAACATAATGAATTGTAAAACCGAATATATATTTTCAGTAACGATTTATAATAGAATCAAAACCTTTTCATACTCTTCGTAAATTTATTGACTTCTTTGAATATGAAATATATCAAGACAACCATTGAAAGTGTTGTGTTGATGATACATTTAACCCCATTTTAACATACCGGTGCATGTATGCATAGAAATAGAAATTACCAGAAGACATTAAAGATTCATTGTCACGAAAGTATTTATCGGGAGATTATTTCCAATAAAAGTATGGCAAATTTGGTATATACATGTATGGAATGTATAGACGGCCAATCTTACTAGAAAAATACTGGATTAACAGAAAAACACCCATAGAGCAAGCACTGGGCAAAAATGTCTGGGTGACACTAACTGGCAACCCAACGGTTTGTCCGACAGCTTATTGTATGCTAACATGACTGAAGGAGTGGTTGATATTTCTTGATCGAATGGTTAGACAATTAGGACCATTGAGGGGTGTAAACAGGCTCAGCAATTAAATGGCGGAAAAAGAAGTAGACAGAAAATAATTCAAGAGTCTCAATACCGGTATGTATGGTAAAGTAATGACAAATACATTCTGAAAAATGGACCCTCCCAAGATTATGTTAGATGACAAACATGAGTTCTCAAAACAGATTTTTTTATAGCTTAGGGTATTTCCCCGTGAATACAAAGTTTTGAGAGGGATTTGTAGTAAATTTTTGATAGATTAAATGGTTTGAATATGTTTTTAGTTCAAATATATCATCAAATCACACAGTTTGTATGTGGGAAAGTATCTTTAAACCCCATTCCAATGTCTTCCATATACTCATTTTATTTAACTGTTGTAGTTTTTCAGTATGTTTCTGTTCTTTCTGGCTGTCATTGATATTATAAAAGATGCTAGTGATGTAAACCCTAAACGAGATGGATCAGTTGATTACGTATCAGGTGGAATTTTAGCAGCTTCTTTTGTAAGTTTAAGAGGATGTATGAATCATTGTGATTTTAAAGAAATTTCCTATACTCTCAGTTTATTGAAATGTCCGACAAGGACAGCTGTCTAGTCCTTCGGATGAGACGAAAAACCGAGGTCCCGTGTATATATTGGAATGCACGTAAAAGATCCCCTGGCAGTTGGAATTGCCCGGGCAAAATTTCCCTCATAGCACACAGTAGGACGTTAAACCCTATTTCACTTCACTTCATTGAAATGTCCCCATCTTATTGCATTTCACCGGATTTATTTATAAAAAATCTAGCTCTTGATGAAAGGTTTTCAACATCCTTTTTAGGTTAAAGATACATTATGTAAGATTTAGATGAAGAACTGACTGTTCTTGCTATAATAGTTCAAAAATATGTAATGCAAAATGAATATATTGAAAATTTCATTCAAATTACTTTATTCTTAGCGAAGTTGTCAATGCTTGTAGTTTTGACAAGATGTGTGCATTGATTGTTTATTATCGTACCCACAATACTGGTATATTGAAGACTTAGCCTCGCTTCTCCATTTTTAAATTAAATCATTAATTGGCCGTACCGTTCTAATTTACTTAAAATCAGAGCCATCCGATGGTATGGAGAGCTGATTAAGGTCTTGTCATGTAAATACATGTAAGCGTCTAATTAATGATTTATATAACATTTTAGGCCTAAAGAAAGACTTGCAATGAGCAGATTTAGCTCTTGCATAACTTATCTTTAAATATTATATTGATTATGATTTATAGTCAATTCATTTAGCACCAAAGTCAGTTTTTAGGACAGGAGTGTCTGAGAACCAGGCCCCAAGTTCACAAAGTATTCTCAGACTTAGGTTAAGAATTTATTCAACTTTCAATCACTATTTATGAGAAATATCTTGGATCTAGAAACATAAAACTTATTGATGTATTTTATACATTAAAACAACAAAAGTTTTATAAAGGGCTATATTTTAGTCAAAATAAGGTGAATAATTTTGAGTAAATTCTTAACTTAAGTCTGAGAATGCTTTGTGAACTCTCGGAGCCTGAATGTTTGTTTTTTTAAAATATTTTGTACATGAAAAAAATAGTATTGGTTTTTGTTTCTTCAGTTAGTGACAACTATATTGGTTCAGTTTGAAAGAAGTCGAGGTTTTATTACATCAGCTATATTATATATCTTCTGGTTATTGTTATTTATTGCTGGTATTATTCCATTTTATACAAAAATAATTAATAAAGTAAGTACAGATTTTATATCACATAAATATACATCTAAATATAACATTCTAAATGTACATGTACTTATATGTCTAATAGACAGATTCTTTAATTTATTGTATTTACATGTACACCTTGGTTCCGTCGGTATCTCTTTCTTGATCCAGTATTCACGCAGATGTATCAGCCTATCCAGCTTTAGTCACCCTGCTAAGGGAGTGTTGCCATCCCTCTTCTCGTATCTGTGTCTAATAGACATGACAGGATAAACAGCACAACAAATTTACAGCCAAAACAAATGGAAATAAATTGAAATGAAATGGGGTTTTGCTCTGACTGAGCTACTGATATACTCTTATATTGATATCCAACTGCCAAGCGATCTTTTACATGCATGCCAATATGTACATGGGACCTCGGTTTTTTTGTCCCATCCAAATGACTAGACAGCTGTCCTTGTCAGGTAATCCGTCCTACACCACTGACAAGGGGAAACCATGCCTGAAAATCCCAATGAACTTTCTCAGCCAACACCTGGATCAAACCAGGGACCCAGTAAGTCAGCCACACAAATGGTACAGAAACACAGCATAGTCTCATTGTAACAGCATTTAATCCAAAGAATATGTTTCCGTAAAGAGGAGACGAGGTCGGGGACAACATTGGATCAAATAGGATCTATCCCTATAATAAAGAGGAGTAACTCATTTAAACACAAAAAAACTTAAGGTTTCAGACCACTATTTCTTAACATGAATAGATAGGTTTATAATATGGAGTATATGACAGTACGATTCAGCACTATATAAAGACAAACTGTGTTAATATGTTAATTATGCTTTATATTACAGGAATATGAGAATGATTTATTCCGATTTGTTTTGTATTATATTTATTTTGCTTTCGTGTTTGTGGAACTTATTCTACATACGTTTGCGGAATCACGAAGTAGGAGAGGTTACCATGAACCAGGTGAAAGGGTAGGTATTTTATATCTCTGTCAATTCATTTGGAATAATGTTACCTATAGAGATATTGTAACAAAATAACTAGTTAATTAGTAAAATAGGACGTTAAATCCAATTTCTCTCTCTCCCTAATTAGTAAAAGGTCAATTTTTGTTTAAATTTATTTGATGAAAGTTTACTTAGGAATAGGCTTATCTACTATAATGCTTTCCAGGAGCAAATGGTGGATGACTAATCCAGATTTTGCAGCTTGGTTTTCCCAAATTCTTTCACATCTACGCCAAAATGTACATGGACCTCAGGTTTTTCTTACCACTTGAAAGATGTCACACGACACCACTGACAAACCAAACTGGATAATCCAGAGAAAGTTTCTCTTCCAATACAGCTCGAACCTGACACCTCTTAGCTGGTTAGCAAGCCAGTGCCTTCCCCAACAGTAGTGTATAATATATATAGACGGGCTACTGTTTAATGTGGGTGGAGCCTCACACAACAAACTTCAGCCGACTCCAGTACCCTACATCTAGCCTCTGCTGTATGATGAATTCTGCCATTGGAACTACTTTCAAATTCACGGATTACAAATGGCAGCACCCATGAAGACGCCTATCATACAAAGCTTTCAATGTCTGAAGCTGTTTTTATCCGATTCACAACTTTGCAATGAAAACTCTACACACTCTTCAAATAACGCCATTTTTAGAACTTCTTTCTAATAGCGGCAATTTTTCCTAATACGTAAACCAATAGCTGCATCACAATTATATAGGTGTAGGTACATATCACTTACTGTCATATAGCCGAGGCTAGATGTAGTCAATGTAGGGTACCAGAATCTGCCATGGTTTGCCGAGTTGGTAGAGTCTAACATGAATGTTATGTATTGTATAGCCTTTGTCTGCCAGTTTATTGACAAAAGATTTTTGATATTTCAGCAATCTTCACCAGAGACAAAAGCTTCATTTCCTAGTCAAGTCACCTTCTCCTGGATAAACTAGTAAGTTATTATTTTATTATTTCTTGATTTGAGCAGATAGTTGAAAATTATTTGTAACATTTCCAGGTCTTCAACTCCAAATTTTGTCAACCCAGTGTTTACTTCAGATAAGTGGGGCATTGGGCAGCCTTATGGTCTTATATGTGCACTTTAGATCATAAGGTCTGAGTCGAGTGGCATGGTTTCAATTCCCAGCATGTTTCTGACAAAAATCATGGGTTTCGTGCAAGTTCTCCAGTTTCCCCCCACTGCTAAAGACCCCCTACATGTACAAGTGAATTATTGAAATAAAATTGAACCATATGTTAGTCCCAAAATGACCTAATTTATTTTGAGTGGATGTTAACCTCATATAGTATAGTACTAAATATGCATTTGGCTAAATATACATTTCTCATATTTAAAGTTGCAATTTCATATTTTTAAGTTATATTTTTAAAATTTATTAAAATAAAGCCTTAAAATAGATGGTATCTATAAACAGTCCTACCTTGTTAAAGAATAATCCTATTAATCCTATAATTCACTATTGCCAGTTGAGAAATTGGCAAAAATATCATTTTCATCTTCAAATTCAAATGTTTGAAGATAACTACTCCATGATGGAGAATAGAAAAAAAAGGGAGGTAATTGTGTTATTATTTCCGGTGTAAATGAGTTTTAAGTTTGAGAATGACACCTATGATCGTATAATAGTGAGTTGACAACCTATTGAGCAAAAGACATAGAAATAATTATGTTTTGACTTCTTAGAAAATATGAAATTGTAACTTTAAGCATTTTTATGTTACCATGGCAACAAATTTGAGTTAAGTTTCTGGTATACAAGGACGCAGGATGTAGATGACTGTCCGCCGGGAGCCATTCACTTGAATTGATATTTGTTTATTTCTTATTCTGGGGGTTTGGATGGCCGTTTATTTCTTATTCTGGGGGTTTGGATGGCCGAATGGTTAGCACATGCGCGCTGTATCATAATGCCTGTCATTGAGTCAACTGGCGTGGTTTCGAATCCCCGGTTGTACGTGACAAGGAGTAGGGTTGCCTGTCCAACCTTGTGGGTTTTCTCCGGTTATTCCGGTTTCCTCCCACTGCTAAAGACTCCTACGCGCAAGCAAATTATTGAAATAAAATTAAATCATATGTTAGTCCCAAAATGACCTAGTTTATGTCGAGTGGACATTAAACCCCATTTCGCTGTCTCCCTATTTCTCTCTCTATTTCTTATTCTTTGTTTTGTTTTGCGTGAAGTGGGCTTCTCCTGCAGTAACTTTTAATCATCTTGTTTATTTTATTTTACAGTTTGATATTGTTAGGATATAGAAAATCTATAGAAGAAGAAGATCTATTTGAGCTGAATCCTAGAGATGATAGTGAAAAAGTTGTACCAGAATTTGAAGAAGCTTGGAACAAAGCTTTACAAAAAACAAAACAACAGAATGAGGAAATGTAAGTAAATACACATAAACACACATAAACTGGACACAAGTACAAATTAGTTGATTTGGGGTGATTTTAAATGATTTTTATGAATTTTCAAACAAGGATTTGATATTGAATAAATGTGAAATACGCAAGATTAAATGATACCTGGGCTTCAGTGTCAACGCCCAGCAGTTGATGAAGGGTTATCACCCGAAACATGTCCTGTTTTGAATTCAATCTACTGTCACACATTCTTGTCAAATTTGTTGCTTGGAGATTATTGTTTTCTAAATCAACTGAAAGTGAATGAAATTAAAAATAAATTCTTATCTGTCTGGAGCCATGGAGGATATTGTGAGTAAGACGCTCGTTCGCTACCCTGAAATTCGCAGCTTCTCTCCCGGTGTTGGCTGAGAAAATTCATCGGGATTTTCTGACGTGGTTTCCCCTTGTCAGTTGTGCAGAACGGAGGGCCTGACAACACATTTGTCTAGTTGTTCAGGTGGGACAAAAGACGGAGGTCTTGTGTACACTGGCCTGCACGTAAAAGATCCCATTGCAGTTGGAATGTGTTATAAGAGTAGGCTGTAGAGCCGCTATCCGGGCAAAATTTCCCTCATAGCACATTGTATGACGTATGCCCGTCTTCAGTAGGACGTTAAAAGACATTGGTGCTGGTGAATGGTGACGATTACTTATTAACCCGTTGACTGATGTGGCAAGTGTTGCGTATATAAAAATACAGTATTGTTGATGTTGAATCTCTAAAAAAATTCACTGTTCAAAAATAATTCAATTCCAATCGTTATTGACAAAGATATCATGAATTTAAGATATGTCAACTTTTGGTATCATCTGCTGACGATATCAACAGGACATGTTGAAAACAAGCCAGTGTCACCATAATCTTAGCTAAAATGTTTTTAATCCGATTGAATCCAAGATGGAGGATTATTTATCGTTGATATTTTGATTTTGTTTACTTAAAGATACCTTATGTAAGATTTAGATAAAGATGTAGCCATTCTTGCTATAATAATTTAAAAATAGATAATGTAAAATTAATAATTTGAAAATTTCCTTTAAATTACTCTATTGCAAGCGAAGATGTTATTAGCCTTTGAAGGTTTGACAAGACTTGTGCAATAATTTCAACCACCGTACTGGTTGTTCGAAGCTAAGTCTCGCGCCTCCATTTTTAGCTTAAATCAAATTATGACTGAACTGTTCTTATCTATTTAATATCGGAGAAATCTGATGCCATCAAGAGTTGATTATAGTCTGGATAAGTTAATTAAAGTCTAATTAATAATTTATATAACATTTCAGGCCTAAAGAAAGACCTGCAATAGGCAGATTTAGCTCTTGCATAATGTGTGTTTAATTATATGTTAAAAAGTAAACCTGAATATATTTTAGCGTGGATTAAGGTATGAAAGATCCAACATGGTCCGAAAAATAAAAATAAACATCAATGGATTTAGCTTTTGACTAAAAATTATCATTTATTTCTTTTACAGTGAAAGAAAGTACAATCTCAAAAAACATTATACTGGTGTTTTTTCAAACAAAGCTGAAGAACATCATCTTAGGAACGAAGCCAAGTCATCGAATGTTTCTGAGAAAACCCCTTTATTAACGGAAGGCAGTACTTCAGTTGAACAAGGCGTGTCTTTTAAAGGAACAAAAGATGATGCACCAAAGAAAAAAGAAGCATCGTTGTTGAAAGTTTTATTTAAAACTTATGGTTTTACACTACTCTGGTCATTTGTTTTGAAAGCTATATACGATTTGTTACAATTTGTTAGTCCCATTTTACAAAGGTAAGAATATTTTGTCTAAGCGCTGCCTAATATTCCATTAAAACGTGTCATGGGGTCTACTAGTGTGATGCCAGTCCTAGGCTAGTACGAGACCAATCTGATTAAAATACAGATCTATATTTCGTTTGTTTATACTTTCGATGGTCTACACTAAATGAAGATCTGACCAGTTGTACTAGAAGGTCGCGTCAGGGGTGGTACGATTGGCTTTTTACCCAATGGCGTCAGATATTGATCAATCAATCAGCGTGGAGCTGTTTCTAGTGGTTTACCCACAGTTCTGTGCATGGCACGCTAATCCAGAACACCTGTTATATAACAACTCTTCCAGATCCTATTGTAGTACAGACAAATAAAATGAAATTTTGAACTATAAAAAACGAAACGAAATAGGATCTTTATTTTAATCAGATTGGTAGAGACAAGATGTCTAATTTATTTGTTTTTCTCTCTCTCAATCAGTCTGATTAAAATATAGATCTATATTTTGCTTCTTTTTTTTATATAGTTTTCTATTGCCTCCACTACATGAAGATCTGACTGGTTGTATTAAAGTTTTGTTAATATTTTTCTTTTTTTACAGTGCATTAATAGATTTTACACAGAATCGTGATACTAAACCAGATTGGCAGGGATATGTATATGCTGGAGGTTTTTTCGTCATCGCAACCATCATGTCATGCTTCTACCATTATTCATTCCATATCAGTATGACCCTTGGGATGAGAATCAAATCAGCACTTATAGCAGCCATTTATAAAAAGGTATGTATGCTTGGAAGTTGCACTTGTCTACGGCATCTCCCTCGGTTGAAGCAGACATTAAACCTGACATCAAGTCAAATCAAGGGAAGTTCTACTGGTGTATGCCAGATTTCCCCAAAACTGGAGCATGTTTGTAGGCTACCAAATTTACATTACAGATGACCAAATAGCATCTGCTGCCACAAAAATGACAATGTAACTAAGTAAGATAATCATTCCATCAAATTGAACAAAGAAAACGGCAAAGTAACCCAGCATCTTGCGAAGAGTTTCCCAATAATCATAAATTATTCTTTTCCGCATAGGACAACAAATACTCTAAAATGTTAATTTTCATCCAGTTGAATTTCATAATTCTATCTTCCACTCAACTTTGAAGCCATGGTCGATCAGTGAGTAATACACTGGATCTGTAACAAGGCAGTCTAAGTCAGGATTTTCCAGTTTGTTTTCCCCTTATTAGTGGGGCAGGATGAAGGGCCGGGCAAGGAATAAAGTCTAGTCATTAGGACAGAATTGTACGTAAGAGAACCCTGGCCGTTGGAATACAAATGAGAGTAGACCATAGCACAGATGGAACAGAAAAGTAGGATGTTAAAACTCATTTCGATTCAGTAAATATTTGATTTTGGTTTTTAATACTATCTTTCAGTCTATTTATAGGCTTCCGACTTGGGCCTGGCTAGGGACAGCTGTCTAGTTGTTCGGATGGGAAGAAAAACCAAGGTCCCGTGTACACATTGGTACGCATGTAAAAGTTCCCTTGGCAGTTGGAATTCGATATATGAGTAGGCCATAGTGCCGCTGCTCAGGAAAAATTACCCTCATAGTACACTGTATTGCGTATGCCCGTCTTCATTAACCCAGTCGGAGCAGAACAGTAGGACGTTAAACCCCATTTCATTTCATTTCTATTTCTAGGCTCTAACTATCAGTAGTGAGGCGAAGAAACAGACAACCGTGGGAGAGATAGTCAACTTAATGTCCGTTGATTGTCAAAGAGTTCAAGATGTCACCGGTTATCTCTATATGTTATGGTCTTCACCTCTTATCATATCTGTCGCACTCTACATGTTATATCAGTCTCTTGGAGCATCCATCTTTGCTGGCCTGGGCGTTATGATATTACTGATGCCACTGAATGCGTTTATCGCAACTAAACTGAGGAAATATCAGATGGCTCAGATGAAGTTGAAGGATCAGAGGATAAAATTGATGAATGAAGTCTTGAATGGTATCAAGGTTAGTGCTCTGGGTTTTTAATGGTAGACAATTGGTACTCAATATATCCAGGCGCATGTCCAGATAGGGCTCGTGCCGAGTATGTCAGGCTGATCCAGAAGGGGGGGTTTCAGCGGTCCACCCCCACCCACCCACGGGATGTTGGATTTCTCTCTTTAAAAAGCTCAGTGTGTTTGTATAAATGTCAAAATGACAATATAGACCATGTGTTTCTCAAAAACTTTCAAGGCCAAAGGTACATAGTCTCAGGAACCTGGCATAGCCCCTCCTGCAAAATTTCCTGGATCCGCCCTGTATATACAAGGTGCGAAGCATTGTTGCCACTGTGGCCTCATCCCTGCATTAATCCTATATATGTATGTGCCTAATTGAGCAAAAATATTGTCTTGGACCGTCAGATTTAATCAAATTTTTCGGTAATCCCCCCAGACCTCACTCCAGGCTTCGGTCCCTCAATTATACATGACAAGTTGTTAGGTCGTCTGCCACTCCTCATGGGTTTTCTCTGGATTCTCGAGATTCCACCCTCTCCTAAAAATATCCTACTCAAAAAAATATAATTGAAATCAAACTTTGTTGAACCATATGTTGGTCCCAATATGACCTAATTTGTGTTGAGTGGATGTTAAATCCTGTTTATCTCGCTCCCTCTCAAATAAATGATTTTATGTTTTAGGTATTAAAACTGTATGCATGGGAGTTGTCATTTCAAGAGAAGATATTGGCTATACGAGACCAGGAGTTAACCATATTACGTAAATCAGCATATCTCAATGCTGTAGGAACATTTGCTTGGACTTGTGCTCCTTATCTGGTGAGTAGGATATGATCTTAAGGGAAACTCACTATCTGGTGACTAGGATCTGTTCTTCAGGGAAACTCATTCTAGTGAGTAGGATATAATCTGAAGGGAAACTCCTTATCTGGTGACCAGGATATGTTCTTAAAGGAAACTCCTTACCTGGTGGCCCAGCTCGGAGCAGAACAGTAGGACGTTAATCCCCATTTCATTTCGTTTTCCTTATCTGGTGAGTAGGGTATATTATTAAAGAAAACTCCTTATCTGGTGAGTAGGACATGTTGTTAAGGGAAACTTCTAATCTGGTGTGTGAGTATGATATATTCTTAAATGAAAGGTCACAGACATGTTTTAGTCAATAAAACTGGTTAATTGAGGATGAAAGACTATCCTGTGCAACTGTTTGAAGATCTGTCTGTTTCTTGTGGGATTGGCAGTAAGTTTCCATATTGCGAGCTGTGTAAGTGCCTTGATAACCATGTCTATAGTACTTACGGAAGTTATAGTTGTACAGCGAACAAACAAACAAACTTTCTCTGTTGTTATATAGATGATGACTATTTATATATTTCAGGTAACCTTAGCAACATTTGCAACATATGTTTTATCATCAGATGATCATTATTTAGATGCCCAGAAAGCCTTTGTCTCATTGTCTCTATTTAATATTCTACGTATGCCAATTAATCTCTTACCTATGATAATACCATACTGTATACAGGTAATCATTTGATACACAAATCTTTACAGTTTCAGGAAATATTTTAATGATGCTGTCTTTTAATTAGTGGGGGTTTAACGTGAGAGTCAAGTGGAGTAATTTTGGTCGCCTGTCCAACAGCATGGGTTTTCTCTAGGTGATCTGGGGTTTTCCCACTGCTAAAGACCACTATGCGCTATGGAATTATTGAAATTAAGTTGAACCATAATATGTTAGTCCCATAATATATCAAGTGGAGTTACCCCCCTCTCTCTCTCTTTCTCTCTCTCTCTCTCTCTCTCTCTCTCTCTCTCTTCTAACATATTAAAATGCACCTACAACATTTAGCTCTTGGAAAATGAAGTTGCTAATTGTTAAAATATTTCAGTTGTTTTATAGGCAACCATTCACATTGAAGGCCATTTTGTTGAAACTTGGTTTATGCTTTATTATGCAATAAACCTTGGAGGAGCATACCTTTGAACAATTTGAACAAGATTCATCAATTGTTTGCAGAGTTATTGCCCTTGGCATACCTTTGAATTTTAGTATTTGCTTTGAAAATCATGTATTTGTAAATTACATTGATTAATCCATGAATTTCCGAATCTATACTTGGAAATATTAAATATTCCACCAGCCCTGAATTTCACGACAACTGAAACAAACTTTAAAATATGCTGGATTTCAATCGACCATGAATAACCAAGCTGAATAACTTTAATCCAGAGTTGTTTTTATTTTATTATCAGGGTTGGGTCTCTATAGGAAGACTCTCCAAGTTTTTACGAAGCACTGATTTAGATCTGGAAACAGTTAGCCATATTGATAGTGTAGAAGCTGTCGTAAAGATAGATAATGGAACATTTAGATGGGATAAAACACTACCAAAACCTACACTTAGAAAGTATGTACTGTCGAGTATTCATTTAGCTTGTTTTTTTTGTTTGTATGTTATTTACAATACATAGAAAATATATTATCGTTTGTACCAGCAGTTGCACTTAACTATCAGTCGGTCCAGAAACTAGTCCCCCCCCCCCCCCACCTCCCTATATTCCTATTGATGCATAGAAAAGATATTATCGTCTGTACCAGCAGTTGCACAGAACTATCAGTCGGTCCAGCCACTGTTACTTTTTCAAGGGAATGTTGCCCCCTCCCCCAGCCTCCTATATTCCTATAAATACATAGAAAAGGAAGTATTCATTGAAATGATATGGAATGGGGTTTACTGTTCTTCATTAACAGTGGGGGAGCTGCGGTTGGTCTTTGAGTAAGATGCCGGCTCTTTAGCCTGGAAATCGCATGTTCGCTCCCGGTGTTGGCTGAGAAAGTTTCTAGGGATTGTTTGTCATGGTGTCCTCTTGTCAGTGCTGCAGGACAAAAGACCAAATAAGGATAGGTGTCTAGTCGTTCAGATGGGACGAAAGATGGAGGTCATGTGTAGACATTGGCATGCACATAAAAGAAACCTTGGCAGTTAAAATTGGATAGAAGAGTAGGATGTAGCACCGCTGTCCAGGCAAATTTTCCCTCCAAGCACACTGCATGACGTATGCTCATTTTCATTTGCCCGGTTGATGCAAAATAGTAGGATGTTAAACCCCATTTCATTTCATTTTTTGTTTATTTTTGGTATAAATATATACTATTCAAAAAAAGTAGGGGATATTTGATTTTGAGGGCATAATACTAAAATATGCAAATGACAACGAAAAAAGTCACTATAGAACTTAACAGAAGAAACATTTCCAGTTACATGTGACGCCCAAACGCACCAATAGCTACCGCATGGAATGCAGGTGATGCTTGGGATCATCATGGGGGTCCAACCCAAGATTTGCACGACTCTGACTTTGAATGTTACAGTCATTGTGGCATTGAATTCCAGGATGGAAACATCAGTTTAATTGTTTTAGTGACCAGAAAACAAATTTTGATATGCGTCTGTGCCTTACTTAGTCTAACGATCATTTGGAATAAATCGATGAATGTGAACTTCATTTCATTTTGTCATTTGTTTCTTCGTCAGTTTCATTAGGTGACTTTAATAACACTTAAAAATCAAATATCCCCTACTTTTTTTGAATAGTATATATATATATTATATATTTGTTTATTTTAAGTATAGATATTATATTGTATATTTGTTTATTTTGAGTATAGATATTATATTATATATTTGTTTATTTTTAGTATAGATATAGATATTATATATTTGTTTATTTTTGGTATAAGTATAGATATTAAAGTATTTGTTTATTTTTAGTATAAATATAGATATTATATATTTGTTTATTTGTAGTATAAAAATAGATATTATATATTTGTTTATTTGTAGTATAAATATAGATATTACTGAAGGTAAATTAGTGGCTATAGTTGGACAAGTTGGATCAGGTAAATCATCACTGATATCATCTTTACTGGGTGAACTAGAAAAAGTCAGTGGTAACGTCAATATTAAGGTAAGTTAAACATAATCAATATATACTCTTCAAAAAAAAGTAGGGGATATTCAGAAACAATACAAAACTGGGGAAATGCACTGCTGTTTTTTTTTAGAGGTATCCAGTGTATGTTAATAACAGGCCAATTGCCTACACATGAACATAAACAGTTCATGTGGGCGGCTTATCTGACGGCCCCCATTTCACTCGCAAAGAGATACACTGTCAAAAGTGAAAATGGATGTTTTTGATTTTTGTCTTAAAAATGAGTAATTGCTCCACCAATCCTCAGACATTCAGCAATTCGTCGTAGGATGCTCCTAATCAACCGTCCAATCACGATTTGGGGCAATCTGACCCACTCGTCTTGCAGTGCCAGGGCCAATTCTTGCAGTGTTGTCGGTTGACGTTGAGGTCGATGAACACGTCTTCCGATCAAATTAAACGTAACACACTAAAGCAAAGATATGCTAAACAGTAAATCTTATAGAAGAACCGATAGGAAAGCAAATATGGATAAGATAAACTAGCAAGCGGTAGTTTTTATCAACCCTTCCTTGAAGTGTCAAATTTGACAATGAACCCCTCCCACGTGTATGGCGCTATTGCGTGTCGCACATGCAGCTCAGTGGTTCTGTTGGGGAGATAAGTCCTTCATCTGTGAACATACTATCAAAGCATGTCAAGTGTCCATGACTATTTATCATATCACAACCTGCCTAGATATTTGCATTTCAATATCCCCTACTTTTTTTGAAGAGTATATTATAGTCAAGTAGGTTTATAATTGTGCTTACTTCATGGCTGGACTATTGGTTTAATGTGTGTATGTGAAATCACTACAAGGTGTGTCAGTTAGTCAAGTGGTATAATTTTGATTGTCCGATTTCCTCCCACTGCTAAAGACCCCTATGCGCAAGTGAATTATTGATAAAAACATATGGTAAACCCCATCTCTCTCTCTCTCTCTCTCTCTCTCTCTCTCTCTCTCTCTATAAATGCATGACTGAAAATTGCTAATCCTGATAATAAGTCATAAAGAAATGGGTTTTGAGTTTGAATTTGAACAAAATTAATGTTTTTGCGAACTCGGTATCTCAATTGGTGAATTTGAAGATCTCAAGGTAAATTATCACTAATTGGTGAAAGGGAACATTTATATGAGTCCCTAATTAAATCAGACACTACATCAAGGTAAATTAATGAAAAAAGGATTTTCCACGAGCTAATGGTTTTCAGTGTTATTGCATGTAGCACAAGATGCTAAATTACCTTTATTTTGTTGCAGCAAAGGTCCCACAAGATATTAAATTACCTTTGTTATAATATATTTGTTACTACAGGGATCTATAGCATATGTTATATATGATATACTTGTTACTACAGGGATGTATGGCGTTATATATGATGTATTTGTTACTGCAGGGATCTGTAGCGTAGGATATATATAAAATATTTATGTTACTTCAGGAATCTGTATATAATATATTTGTTACTGCAGGGATCTGTAGCGCAGGTAATATTTGATATATTTGTTACTGCAGGGATCTATAGCCTATGTGCCACAAGAAGCCTGGATACAGAATGCTACTGTTAAAGATAATATATTATTTGGTAGTCGATGTAAACACAAGACCTATGATCGTGTTCTAGAAGCATGTGCCTTAAAACCAGATCTAGATATCCTACCTGGTGGTGATTTAACAGAAATAGGAGAAAAGGTGACAAATTAATTAAAATATCCCACAATCTTTGTATTATTTTATATTAACATTGTTCCTAAATGTCTTTTTAGCTCTTTACAAAATCTTCTGCAGTCTGGGGGGTTGGATGGCCGAATGGTTAGCGTGTGTACGATGCCTTATAAGGTCTGTCATTGATTCAAGTGTCTTAGTTTTGATTCCCCAGTTCTACGTGACAAGGAGTAGAGATGCCTGATTGCCTGTCCAACCTTGTGGGTTTTCTCCAGTTTCCTCCCACTGCTAAATACCTCTATGGGCAAGTGAATTATTGAAATAAAATTGAACCATATGTTAGTCCATAAATGACCTAGTTTGTGTCAAGTGGACGTTAAACCCCATTTCTCTCACTCTCTCTGCTGCAGTCTAGCTGCTGCCATGAATGTTACCCTTTTAATGCAAATGAATCCAATCCAGGAGTTTATCTAACTTGGATATTTGAGTTTGATTTCTTAATTAGATGATAAATAATTAATTAGAGTATATTTTAGTGTTCATTGATTTAATCTAAAAATCGATGATCAAGACTTTGTTATTATCGTAGCAATGACAATCGAGACTCCACTATTCTCCAAACAGGCCTAACTTCTTTGAAATTTTCAACTTATTCCCTTTTCATTTTTTTTTTTTTCCGCTTTCTCACTAGCCTGGAGGTCGGGTGTTCAGTCCCTGCATTGGCCGAGAAAGTTCATCCAGATTTTCCGGCTTGGTTTCCGCTTGTCAATGATGCAGGACGGAGTGCCTGACAAGGACATATGTCTAGTCGTTCAGATGGGACGAAAAACCGAGGTCCCGTGTACCTATTGGCATGCACATAAGAGATCCCTTGACAGTTGGAATTCGATATAAGAGTAGGCCATGGCAAAATTTCCCTCATAGCACACTGTATGGCGTATGCCCGTCTTCATTAGCCCAGTTCGGAGCAGAACAGTAGGACGTTAAACCCCATTTCATTTCATTTTCATTTCATTATCTTTTTTTAACCATTATTGTGAGAACTGCCAGCTCGGTATCTAAATCTAACATAATGCTGAATTAAGCTGTGAAAAATTAGATATTGTCGTAAAAAGGGAAATAACTTGCAGTGTCTAGAAGTATTATCTGACTTTATATTTTATGTTAATTTTTTCTATTTTAGGGAATCAATCTGAGTGGAGGACAGAAACAGAGAGTTAGTTTAGCTCGAGCTGTTTATAGTAACGCTGATATTTATCTTCTCGATGATCCACTCAGTGCCGTCGACTCACACGTAGGAAAACATATCTTTGAAAAGGTCATAGGTCATGAAGGAACACTGAAGAAAAAGGTAAGGAAATCATGACTCAATGGCAAATTATGATCATTATTAAACCATTATTAACATAAAAAAGAACCCAAAATTACTTAGTTTGTATTGAGTGCACATTAAACCCCAGATTATCTTGAGAATCAGAATATTGTTTTTTTTAATATACTCAGTATGAATGACTAATTATGGATAAGACATTTCACATAACTTTAATGTAATTTCATGTTTTATAATTGTTGTTTCTCTGGACACGATTGTTGGTTTGGTGGCCGAATGATCTAACTCACGCCCTTTAGATCATAAGATCTGTCATTGAATCAAATGGCATGGTGTCGAACTACAGTGGACTGTCAATTCCGACATCATATGTGATCAATAAAATAGACAGCATGTCAGAATACTCAATTGCCGCAATGCCGGAAGTACTAGATGTAGAGATCCGGAATCTGCCAAGGTTTGCCAAGTGTGTATTTGCCACGAGAATCTCAAATCAAATACCAAGCACTCTCTTATTTACAAAAGATTATTAAATTATCAAAGATCGACAAATGCTTTATGCTCACAGATAATTGATTGGTGATTTCTTGTCGGCTAACACACACTGATTGAAGGCCAGATTATCCGATGTTAATTCAACGCAAATCGTGTGTCGGTACCACTGATTGATGTCGTAATTCGGAATATTCTGAATCCAGACTACTCATAACTTTTTGGGGTTGAAGTATTAAGGAAATAAATCGGGACATGAAAATGATGACAAATTTCACAGAATATCTTAGTATTCAGATGTCGGAAGTGACAGAGTCCACTGTAGTTTGTGTTCAGTAAACTTTAAACCCCATTGCTCTCTCTCTCTTTTTAGACTCGTTTGTTGGTTACTCATGGTGTTCACTGGTTACCTAAAACAGATCTAATTATTGTCATGAACGAAGGGGAAATTTCAGAAGTTGGATCATATAATGAACTTGTCTGTCATGATGGAAAATTTGCCCAGTTTTTAAAGCATTATTTAACAGAAGGAGCTGGATCTGAAGATGATGATGATCCAGAGAGTGAGTACTGTATATTTATTTTAGGATGGTGTCATGATGGAACTAAACTTAGATAAGCAGTTTTATTTGTTAACCCCTTAACTGTGTAATTAATTTGACGTTAACTACCCCCTATTGCGTAATTAATTTGATGAAAAACGTCATTTTTTGGCCTATTTTTTTCTGAATACAAATTTAAGTGGTCTTAAACCGTAATAAAACTAACAGTAAATAGAGTTGTCTCCCTTCAATTAGATTTCCTCGACCAGGCGTATTATTACATCTAACGCATGGTAAGATTGTGTTCGAAGAATGGGTTGGGGAAAATACCTCCAGGGCGTTATATTACGTCCTACACACGGTGAGTGGCAGTTGTCCAGGACGTTATATAACGTCCTACGCAGTTAAGGGGTTAATTAGATGAGAGTGATGAAACTTGTTGACTGTTATATTCGGATCCTTGGATCCTGGGGTGTTGTACAGTTACATGTGGGTGAAAAGGAAAAACAACCATTCTCCATGTTAGAATTCCAATCTCTTTCCTTATTACTCAAAAAGGCAAAAGAACTACCATATAAGGGAGACAACTTGTGTGAACTTAAACATAAGGTTTCAGACCACAATGATATAGACTATACCACAATATGACAGTACCGTATATGTATTTCAATCACAAATCAGTATATTGACTAAATTTGACAATGAGCATTCTTTGCTAGTTAAACAGAGTGTTAAGTGATTTGATTGCTTGGTGCTTTATAAAAAGATAAATTGTACAATTAATTAATGACATCTGTATTTATTTTAGGATTGATTCAGAGAACATCACTCTAACTTTTCGTTTTCTCTTTTGCTTCTGTGTCTGCTGCACAGAATCCGCTGTATTGTACAGTTCATACTTGCCAAAATTTGGTTTTGCCCTAAATGCATCTAGAATGACTTTTAAAACGACTTATTGATTCCTTCCTCTGCCAGTGATCATCTGACTTACATATTTAGTCACGTGTAGAACATGATTTTACTGTGATATTACAAACTATAAAATATTTTCACTGTACAAGCTAGAATATATTATACATTTATTGTACAAGCAGAAGTGGTAGGCCAACATCACCTAGCCTATGTTACTCCCCAGTCCGAGCTACCCCTTTACACCAAATTTCAGTCTTGAGGGGAAAAATCCTAGTGTAGCCGACAAACCTGAACAGACAAGACAGCAGAAAAACAACAGTCACTAATATTAGTATTGATATTTATACAGTACAACGTGTAATATATTTTATATTTATATTCTACAGGCTATGATATATTATATATTCATTTTACAAGCTATAATATATTTTATATTTACAGTACAAGCTGTTAAAAGTCAGATATTGGAGAGATTGGAATCTGTAACTGGTACATCTGATTTTGCTACATCTGGTGATGATGAAAGAACATCCGGGTAAATATATATATATTGTATATTTATATATAAACACAATTGGTAGCAGGTATCTTTGATTCAGTCCTATTTGTCAATGTTGAAGGCCTGTAATTAATGGGGCAAAAAGTCAAAATAGATATACATTGTCCGTCAATTTTACAGCACCCCTGAGAACATTTCCCACCCCCCTCGTTGCTCTGAGCTAGTTACGGCCCCACAATCTTGATTGACTGGTTATGAATATATGTCACTATCTCTCAATTATAACATGCCATAGAATTAGGATTACAAAGAGTTAAATCAAATTGAAACTTTACGCACAATAAATGCAGTTAGATTTATAGTTCCTATTCCTATGCATAAAAAGCTTTAATAAATATCATAAATGCTTTTGTTTACATTGATTTGATTTAGTCTTACCTGACCGTTATTGTTTACATTGATTTGATTTAGTCTTACCTAACCGTTATTGTTTACGTTGGTTTGATTTAGTCTTACCTGACTGTTATTGTTTACATTGATTTGATTTAGTCTTACCTGACCGTTATTGTTTACATTGATTTGATTTAATCTTACCTGACCGTTATTGTTTACGTTGGTTTGATTTAGTCTTACCTGACTGTTTTTTTGATATTTTACCAGTAAAGATTCTACAGTTCGTAAAAGAAAGCCATCAACTGATTGTGTAGAGAAAAAGAAAATTCCTGCAGAGGTCAACAAACTTATTGATGCTGAAAAAGCGGAAGTTGGAACGGTAAGCTCAAATTTCCTCTATATGAACATACTTAGGAGAAAAGAGCTATTTAAATTACATTGTTAAACAAGATAAGCTCTAAATCAGTCTGGTTTGGTTAAAGGACATTTTTCTATTCAGTGCCAACAGAGTGGATAATCTGCTACAAGAATTAGCTCTCCCGATATTGCTGGATTTAGATTAACGCTTAAAACAGGTGTGATTATTTTGGATAAAGCACAATATTAAGACTATCATTAGAATAGATTATGGATAAGCTGAATAGTTTATTGTAACAGGATCAACTAGTCATGTGATATTGCGGTTTATTTTTAATTGATGCACTTTATTTTATACTTATAACATCTGTATTCAATTACCTGTATCCTTCTCACTAAATCCTTCTCGGATTGAAAAAAAGCTTTTATCCAACACACACACACAGACGGAGACACAGAGGGAGAGAGAGAGGTTTAACGTCTACTTTACACAAACTAGGTCATTTTGGGACTAACGTATGGTTCAATTTTATTTCAATAATTCATTTGCGCATGGGGGTCTTTATCAGTTGGAGGAAACCAGAGTTAAGGCCCTTGTTTCATTTTGTAGAACCTTGTGAACCCTCAAAGGACAAAAATTATAATCTCATCTGTATGAAATTGTCTTGTAAATGCCTACAATTACCTACAAATATGTGACAACCCTTGTCAACCTCTCGAACGATTTAGCTGCTGTGGGCATTTGTTTCGTTACCTGGCAACCTACCTTTTTATACTTCCGTTGGTCTGCACTACATGAAGATCTGACAGGTTGTAATAGGAGGTCTATCGCTGAGAATGTCTACCCATAGTTCCCTGTGCCAGACGATAAGAACTTGACTCAACAGACCATTTAATTGGCTACTCTCTGAAAAAGGGTTATTTAATAACTCATCTAGATCTGTGTATTAATTAGATTGTGAAATACTTGCAAGTTATATCTGTGAATTTTGTTTATTTTAGGTAAAACTGGCTGTGTTTATAGAATATGCTAAAGCTATTGGTGGTATTACAACATTGTTGATATTTTTAATTTATCTGGGATATCAGGTAGCTAGTGTGTATTCTAGTATCTGGTTGAGTCAATGGACAGATGATCCGTATCTGTTAAATCGTACATTAAGTAAGACCACAAAATATCAAGACAAGAACGATATGTATCTTGGAGTTTATGGAGGACTGGGTGTAGCTCAAGGTAGGTTTAGCTAAATGTTCTTGTTACAAAAATCTTGTTTTCAAAATAAAATCTGAAATATAAAATGAATTTGTGTTTAACCAGGCTAATGATTACACTCTGATCATCAGTGAATATTCGCTAGGCCACTACTGATCATCAGTGAATATTCGCTAGGCCGCTACTGATCATAAGTGAATATTCGCTAGGCTGCTACTGATCATCAGTGAATATTTGCTATGCCGCTACTGATCATCAGTGAATATTCACTAGGCTGCTACATTCACTGATATGTATGACATCGGCATGGCTTAATGAGTCCCCAATATTAACTTTTTTCCTTCTGCAAATGAAATTCTAGAAAATGTTTTAAGCATTAGAAAAATAAAGGTGTTTGAAGTATATGTAGGTAAATTAATATTTCCTATTTAGTGTAAATGGGTATTTAAAATGAGAAACGGCACCATTCTGCACAGTAGTGTCTTCTGTAAACAATGCGCATGCCATTAAGCCAATGATTGACAGGGTGATGGGATGTCACATGTTGAAAGCAGTCATATTTTACAGAGTTATTAGAAGACTATTGCAATACCACTGTGAAACAGATTGTAATGATTATAAACATACACTATACAGTTTGCTATGAAGGAGATTTTTCCCAGACATCAGAGGGGGGTTGTATGGCCAAATGATTAGCATTTGCGCGCTGTATCATGAGGCCTGTCATTGAGTTAACTGGCGTGGTTTTGAATTCCCGGTTGTTCGTGACAAGGAGTAGGATTGCCTGTCCAACCTCGTGGGTTTTCTACTGGTCCTCCGGTTTCCTCCCACTGCTAAAGACCCCTACGCACAAGCGAATTATTGAAATACAATTAAACCATATGTTAGTCCCGAAATGACCTAGCCTGTGTTGAGTGGACGTTAAACCCCATTTCTCTCTCTCTCTCTCTAAAGACCCCTATGTACCATCTTATTACCTTATGCTAGCCCCATAATGACCTGGCTCATGTCGGGTGCACATTAAATCCCATCTCTCTCACTCAAATGTTGAAGCAGGGAGTTGGTTGGCTGAATGGTTTTAAAGCATGCACATTAGATCACAGAGTCTACCATTGAGTCAAGTGGTGTGCTTTCGATTCCCTGCTTGTATATAACGAGGAGTCGGATCGCTCACCCAACCTCATTGGTTGTGTCTGGGTCCTCCGATTTTCACCCAATGCTAAAGACCCCAACGAGAATTACGAAAATAAAACATAACCACATGCTAGCCCCAAAATGACCTGCTGGTTCATGTCGATTGGACCTTAATCCCTTTTTTCTCTCTCATGCCTTTGCCCATGATCAATTTGAAATATTTCTTCTATTTCAGCGGTTATTATACTAATCTTTGCCTTGTTATGTTCAACGAGAATGGTAGCAGCAGCCAGAACTCTCCACGCTAAAATGTTATTTAATATTTTACGATCACCAATGTCTTTCTTTGATACGACACCTAGTGGTAGGATAGTGAACCGTTTTTCACGAGATATAGAAGTTATAGATAATAATCTACCCAGTACGTTTCGTGTTTGGATGAGTTGTTTTTTTGGTGTTTTAAGTACGTTTGTTGTGATAGCGTACAGTAATCCAATATTTCTGGTAGTTGTACTGCCATTGGGATTACTCTACTGGCTAGTTCAGGTAAGTTTGGGATTATTTCCCTCATCATCTGTTAGTATAGAATGCAAGCTTGTGCTTTAGATCCTAATGTATGTAATTGAATCAAGTGGTGTGATTTCAATCCCATGATGAGGAGTAGGGTCGCCTGCCTGACTTTGTGGGTTTTCTCCATGTCCTCAGGTTTCCTCCCACTGCCAAAGACCCCTAGTATTTAATACATGCAATCTACTTAATGACCACAGCCTGATTACTAACAATTTCAACTAACTAATAAATGTTATGTACATAAAATGACAACTTACATCTGTTTGTGTCGTATATTTCCATTTATAAAAGTGTTTTGTTCTGAAGTCACTGATATCAAGTTTACAGTGATATTCTGGATTGTTGTTTCAGAGATTTTATATTCGAACATCAAGACAGTTAAAGCGAATTGAATCTACAACACGATCACCTATCTATACCCACTTCAGTGAAACAATAACAGGAGCTTCTTCAATTCGAGCCTATGGTGCTTCTGAGAGATTTATAGAGGAATCACAATCACGTGTGGATAGAAATCTGGTTATATATTTCTCAGCCAATTGTGCAAATAGGTTAGTGATCTTTTTATGTATTTCACAGATAATTCTGTTAGTATTTTTCAGCCAATTCTGTTAGTAGTTCACAGCTAATTTTGTTAGTATTTCACAGCTAATTCTGTTAGTATTTCACAGTTAATTTTGTTAGTATTTCACAGTTAATTCTGTTAGTATTTCACAGCTAATTCTGTTAGTATTTCACATCTAATTCAGTATTTCACAGCTAAACAGCTTATTATGTTAGTATTTCACAGCTGATTATGTGAGTATTTCACAGCTAGTATTTCACAGCTAATTCAGTATTTCACAGCTAAACAGCTTATTATGTTAGTATTTCACAGCTGATTATGTGAGTATTTCAAAGCTAATTATGTTAGTATTTCACAGCTAATTTTATTAGTATTTCAAAACATACTGGGATCTTATTCCAGTAAACTTAAATTGAAGGATGCGGCCATTTCATTGAAGTCCTGAAATGAAAAGAAATGTGGTTTAACATTCTACTTTTCTGTAGCAACTGAGCTAATGAAAACAAGCATATGCCATGCAATGTGCTATGAAGGAAATTTAATGTGCACACCAATGTGTACACAGGATCATGGTTCTTCATCCTGTGCAAAGAACTAGACACTGTTCCTTGCCACGCCCTCCATCCTGCATGACTGACAAGGGGGGGGGGGCACGCTTGAAAATCTTGGAGTATCTCTGGATATCCTGGTTAGTAAGCCAGCTTCTTACTCACTGAACCACTTCGGCTTCCATTCAAGTCCTAATACAAGTTTTAACTCTTGTGAAATAGCTTCCAAGAATACAATGGACACAGTGCGGTCCCATGCATAGAAGAATAAGATTGATTGGAGAGAAAAAAAGCAAATATCAAACAAAAACATCTATCTAATTAAAATACAAATCTATATTTTGTTTCATTATACTTTCGATGGCCTGTATTACATGAAGATCTGACCAGTTTTAGTGGAAGGTCGTGTCAGAGGTCATACAAGTGGCTTTTGACCCTATGACGTCAGACATTTGATTAATCAATCAGCGTTGATGTTTCTAGTTCTAGTTGGTTACCCACAGTTCCGTGCACCTCATGCCAAAAATATGCCGTAACAGACCCTTTCATTGGCTAATCCTTCACATCATTTAGAACGCAGGTTATATAACAACTCTTCTAGATCCTATGTAGTAAAGACAAGTAAAACGAAATTTTGAACTATAAAAACAAAATGAAACGAAATAGGATCTGTGTTTTAATCAGATTGACAAAAACATGAGTATGATTAAAGGACCAAGGTAGGGCCTGATTTTAATTCTAGAATTTAAAAATTAGCTTTGAATAATTATTTGTTATTGATTACAGATGGCTAGGATTTCGTCTGGAGTTTCTAGGTAATATTATTGTATTAGCCGCAGCTATATTTGCTGTATTAGCTACAGATTTAGAAGGTGGTTTGGTTGGTCTATCTATAACATATGCTTTACAGGTACAGTAGTATAGTATAATTCATAAAACATTGGTGGGTTGGATGGCCGAATGGTTAGCATGTGCGCGCTGTATCATAAGGTCTGTTATTGAGTCAACTGGCGTGGTTTCGAATCCCCCGTTGTACGTGGCAAGGAGTAGGGTCACCTGTCCAACCTCGTGGGTTTTTCTCCAGGTTCTCTGGTTTCCTCCCACTGCTAAAGACCCCTACTCGCAAGCAAATTATTGAAATAAAATTGAACCATATGTTAATCCTGAAATGACCTAGTTTGTGTCTAGTGGACGTTAAACCCCATTTCTCTCTCTTTCTCTCTCTCTTCTAAAATATTGGTGGCTAAGTGGGTAAGACACTGGCTCGCTAGCCTGGAGGTCGCATGTTCGATCCCTGCATTGGCCCAGAAAGTTCATCGGGATTTTCCGGCATGGTTTCCCTTGTCAGTGGTGCAGGACGGAGGACCTGACAACAATAGCTGTCTAGTCATTCGGATGAGACAAAAAAACGAGGTTCTGTTTATACATTGACAAGAGTAGGCCATAGTGCCGCTGCCCAAGCAAAATTTCCCTCATAGCACACTGTATGGCATATGCCTGTCTTCATTAGCCCAGTCGGAGCAGAACAGTAGGACGTTAAACCCCATTTCATTTCATTTCCTAAAAGATTGTTTGAGAGAGAGAGACTTTCTAAATAGATAAAGGTTTGTATTTGGTGTTTTTAGAAATATTGAGCATTCACTGGCTTATGCATGACACCCATCACTATTTCACGCTAATCAGAGCAATATCGGCTATAATAAAAGTATGCAATATTTGTAGATATAATATGTATTATAAATGTTTTTGTAGATAACGATGACATTAAACTGGATGGTGAGAATGACAAGTGATTTAGAAACTAACATCGTATCAGTAGAAAGAGTAAAAGAATATTCAGAAACACCAACAGAAGTAAGTTTATTGTTTATATATATGTAATGGGGGCCACAGTGGCTCAATTAATATGGGACAGACTCGCTAATCAGTGGGTTACGTTTTGATCCAGGTGTAGACTGATTAAATTTCTCAGGGTTTTCTAGTCTTGTTTTAACGTGTTGAAAGTTCTCCCAAGAAAAAGTGTTTGTATGGGACAAAAAATGAAAGTCCTGTGTACACATTGTCAAAACACCTCACAAGGAAAAGTGTCTAGTATTTGTATGGGACAAAAAAAGAAAGTCCTGTGTACTCATTAGTGTGTAAAAGGACCCCTGCCAGTTAGAATTTAAAAAAAAATCCAAATGGCTTTAAATTACTGAAAGTCTTTATATACAAAGCAAATCCTAATCATCCTATGTTTATTTACTATAAGTTCTAATGTTTATAAATATATTATTTAGGCTGTGTAGAATATACCATCCTATATTTATTTACTATAAGTCCTAACCAGTGATGGGATTTTGCCTGTATATTCCGGACATGTCCGACGCTATTTTTCCAAACGTCCAAAAATGTTCGACCAGAAATATGCCGAATCGGACATCAAGACATGGTAAATAATATTCAAAATTCGAAAATTGATATAGTGTACTGAGTGTATAACTACCACTCAACCCGATTATCGTTGATAATAGGCTGCATTGATTAGGTAATTAAGTGATCAATGTATTCATCGTTTTATACCGTCTATACACCCACCTTGATTAACTACTTAATCTGCCTTGATTGGCTGACTTAATTCTTTGTCGGACAATTCATCAATTCAATCCTGAACAGATGTCATTGCTTCTCTTTGTCGAACTATATATCAATCCAATAAACTTAATCCACGTGATTAACCTGTGATTTCTCCATTGTCTCACGTTTTAATCTCCTTGATGTCGGCCGTAGACATTAGTCATTTATGTCACATATCCTAATAGTATATAACACCCCGAATCAATATACATTGTGTCCGATAACCTGACTGTGATATTTCTTCAGTGGAAGCCGAAGTTAAATAAAGCTATTTCACACACACTCAAAATGAAAGTAGAAATCTCGCGAGACACGTGGAATCATAAATTGTCGGATTTATGATCTATTTTTGAATGGGGTTTATGTTTTTAAATAAATAAATAAACACGCTAAGAAATGTTGACGAATATTTCGATTGGAATAACGTAAGTAGTTACGGTAGTTGTTTTAGTCGGTAGCGCGTGCTTAGAGTCTAATGGGATTTTTTAGCAGTTGGTGTCACTCGCTCGTTGTATTAGAGCGACGTTTACTGCAGTTTACGGTCAAATAAATTTCGGGATGTCAGTTTTTTTACCTTCCGTATATAAATCGAAACTGAGTATAAGACGAATGCCGGACTTTGATGAAAAATGTATCGACTTATGACCCGAAAAATACGGTAATTTGGGGGGAATTTGGAACCGGTACGGATGGGCAGTAGTCTGAATGCTTTCATTCTATGGTATTACGATGTCAAGTAATTTTGTAGGAATATTATTGACATAAATTTGAATACCGTACGGGAATTAAATATGAAAAATAACAAGGTGCACCTGTTTTTTTTCTATTACGTATGAATTTGAACATTTTGTTGATACATGATTCTGAATTGTGGTTTGAATTGTCCCTTTATTTTCGGGAAGAAAATGTCCGACGACTAAAATTTTGAAATCTCATCACTGGTCCTAACGTTTATAAATATATTGTTTAGGCTGTATGGAATATACCATTGTATCTTTATTTGCTATTTGCTCTAATATTTATAAATATATTGTTTACGCTGTGTAGAATATACCATCCTATCTTTATTTGCTCTAATATATATGAATATATTGTTTAGGCTGCATGGAATATACCATTTCGTAAACCACCAAGAGGCTGGCCAGATAGTGGTAATATTATATTTGAGAATTTAACAACTAGATACAGACCCGGTTTGGATCTCGTGTTAAAGGGCATCAACTGTGAAGTTAAATCTGGTGAAAAGGTAAAAAATATAATTTCATGTTCCATCTTTGGTGGAGTTTTTATTCCAACATAATAAAAAAAAATTTTCACTGGTGCTAGACCCAATTTTTATATTTATAATTATTGTTAAAACAATGCCAGACTCCCTCTGTACCAGCCGGTCTTTTTATTTAGACCTGCATGTCACGTGACAAGGAGTAGGGTCGCCTGTCCAACCTCGAGGGTTTTCTCCGGGTCCTCCGGTTTCCTCCCACCGCTAAAGACCCCTACGCGCAAGCGAATTATAGAAATAAAATTAAACCATACGTTAGTCCCGAAATGACCTAGTTTGTGTCAAGTGGACATTAAACCCCATTTCTCTCTCTCTCTCTAGACCTGCATGTCAAAGTGGCCATATATTGTCATCAACTCCTCTTTAAAATGTGCCACCATTCAATCTTTATGAAATTTCATTTGGCGGTTGTATGTTTCAATATCCGTTTTCATAAGCCCAGTTCGGAGCAGAACAGTAGGACGTTAAACTCCATTTCATGTTTCAATACCTGCATGCGAACTTATTAATAAAAAGTAACACAGTTATATGGGACAACAATCACTGGTTTATTATATTCAGTATCCTCAAACTCTGCAATAATAAACAAGGGATGGTAATCCTCTATAATTGTTTTAATTTTGTATCATAAGGTCTGTCATTGAGTCAACTGGCATGGTTTCGATTCCCTGGTTGTACGTGACAAGAAGTAGGGTCGCCTATCCAACCTCGTGGGTTTTCTCAGGGTCCCCCAGTTTCCTCCCACTGCTAAAAACCCCTACGCGCAAGCGAATTATTGTAATAAAATTGAACCATGTGTTAGTTCCAAAATAACCTAGATTGTGTCAAGTGGATGTTAAACCCCATTTCTCTCTTTCTCTTTTCTGTCTATAGATTGGTATTGTTGGTAGAACAGGAGCTGGTAAAACATCTTTATCTATTGTATTATTCCGATTAATAGAAGCTGTGTCCGGTAAAATTATTATAGACGGACAACATGTCGCTGATATCGGACTTCATGATCTCAGATCTAGTATTACTGTATTACCTCAGGTGAGTTTTAAAATGTAGAGATATCTGAAACCATAGGCTAGTGCTCCAGCAGAAATTATAGCCATTTGAAGTTTACATTAAATTTGTATTAATTTCACATTTGAAATATATTTTGATTGGATGTACTTGTATTGATAATTTCATTGTAGATGTGGTTCATTTTGAACCAGAAACTGGTTCCATACCTTGGTAATCTTTTTCTCCTTCTAGGTGGTGGTCAGGTCATCTTAATGCATGTGTTTAGATCATAAATTCTGTCATCGAGTCATTTGCATAGTTTAATTCCCTAAGCATATACTTGACAAGGAGTACAATCACCTGGTACCTCAAACTGCTTGTAATTGAATTATTGTTAATTATGCTAGTCCAGAAATTACCTAGTTTTTGTCAGTGGGGGTGAAACCCCATTCCTCCCCTCCTCTCTCTCTCTCTCTCTCTCTCTCTCTCTCTCTCTCTTTTATTTGTTGGGGTGACCCTCTTAAAAAAAAGGCTCTATCAATTCAAATGTGATAAAAATGAAACTTGGCATTGTGCATTAATTAAGAGTAGACCATGTGGAATGGGAGTATCAGTTTAGCCAGATTATGTTAATGGTAGTCTTCTATATTTCAAGGGGGGTTGGATGGCCGAATAGTTAGCACGCACGCTCTGTATCATACAGTCTGTCATTGAGTCAACTGGCGGGGTTTCGATTCCCCAGTTGTACGTGGCAAGGAGTAGGGTCGCCTGTCCAACATTGTGGGTTTTGTGGTTTCCTCCCACTGCTAAAGACCCCTACGCGCAAACGAACTATTGAAATAAAATTGAACCATATGTTAGTCCCAAAATGACCTAGTCTGTGGCGAGTGGACGTTGAACCCCATCTCTCTCTCTCTCTCTCTCTCTCTCTGTATATATATATATATATATATATATATATTTCAGGGTCCAGTTCTATTTTCATGGTTTCTTCTATATTTCAGGATCCAGTTCTATTTTCTGGTAGTATGAAGATGAATCTTGATCCGTTTAATGTTTATAAAGAGAGTGATCTATGGGAGGCGTTAGAACATGCTAATTTAAGTAAATTTGTCTCAGAAGTCCCAGGTAAATTAGAGTATGAAGTTGGAGAAGGAGGGCAAAATCTCAGGTAAGGGTCATAACAAAATCTGTGTCACAAGATAAGTGGGGTTAATTTGGCCGCTATAAAATCAGTGACCCAAAGTTTAAATAAATAAGATTGTAACTCCCCAGACTGCGATGAAATAACTCCTTACTGAAAATACCGTGAGTGGATGGGCGAATCTCTAGAACAGTGTAGACAAGGTTGGTTCTCAGTTAGGCAGTTTGGGGTTAAAAAGAAATGAAATTTAGGTTTAATGTCACTAACAAAGACAGGTATACAACATGTAGTGTGTTATAATGCACCGTAGTACTACAACCTAGTCTTATTTTAAATTCCAACTGTCAAGGGTTCTTTCACATGCATGTCAGTATGTACCCGAGATCACGGTTTTTGTCCTATCTGAACCACTAGACGTTGTTCTTTGCCAGGCTCTCCGTCCTGCACCAATGATAAGTACATACCACAACGAAAAATCCTGAGGAACTCGACCAACACTGGTATCGATTCCGGGACGTTCTAGTTAGTGAGCCAGTGACTGAACCACTGTTGCTCTGGAGTGAAAAGGGAAATAATCTTTAAAATATTTCAAAGTTTGTAATTCCCAAGCAACAAATTTAATCCAGGACTCGTTTTGGGCAGCAATTATATATCAACACCTTCTGCATTAAACCAGCTCCACAGTTCCAATACATTCTTTACAAGTTTGTTACTTTTACCCTCGTCAGACCCGGGTGGCGTCCTTACTGTGTGACACTATGGCGACGGAAAATGGTCGCCGAGTGCGTCAAGATCGCCATATGCGTGGTCAAAGCGTGGTGGAAATGCCAGATATCGTGCTGTGGTCGCCAATGATCGTTGAGTCACAGCGTTTGTTTTAAGCATGTTCAAAACAAACGCCAAGGTCTGCGATCTGACCTGGAAAGCTGTAGGAACACGTCTCTTTTCAAGTTTGTAATTTTTTGGGACATTTTCTTGTATTGTTTTTACGATTGCCGGCGACCTTGTGCATTTTCTTGTATTGTTTTTACGATTGCCGGCGACCTTGTGCATTTTCTGGTAGACGTACAGTCGCTTCAGTGCAGTAAGGACGCCACCCCGGTCTGACGAGGGCATTTCTGATTTACTATGAAATATAGGACACATTTGAAGTGAAAACATTTTATTTTTATTATTCAAAACATTTTTCATTATTTTGTTTTTTTTCTCAGTGTTGGTCAGCGCCAGTTGGTGTGCTTAGCCAGAACTCTTTTACGTAAAACTAAGATATTAGTTTTAGATGAAGCTACAGCAGCTGTTGATATGGAAACCGATGACCTCATTCAACAGACAATAAGAACAGAATTTAAAGATTGTACAGTATTAACGATAGCTCATAGATTAAATACTATCATGGATTATGACAGGTCAGTGATATTACTCTCTCTCCTTCAGGGGCGGATCAAGAAGGAATTTTTGCAGAAGGGGATTTACCAGGTTCCTGAGACAATGTATTCTTTTGAGAAATATGTGGTCTCTATTATCATTTTGACGTATATCTGGGTTGACCAGAGATCTCCACCCCCCAAACCCCTTCACTCTGGATCTGCCTCTGTCCTTATTTAACAGTTCAGTTGGAAATTAGATAATGAAATTATACATTCTCAATAAACACAAAAACATAATATGTAATACATTTACTATCTTAATTAAAGCGATGTTACATTGAGGGTTTTCTGCTTGAGATACCATTTAGAGAACCCTCAATGTAACGTCGCTTTAATTAAGATAATAATTGTGTTCCATATTATGTTTTTGTGTTTATTACGTGTGTCAATTGCTAAATGCCACTCAAAGAAGATGATACATTCTCATTAGCTGTGCTGACAAGGACAATTGTTGTTATTTTGTGCGAAATTAATTCTTTTGTCATGGCATTTGCACATTACGTGGTTGAATGTAATATTTGAGCGAACTAAATCACAAACCTAAAGGGGTAGGAATCAATTGTACATTTCGATCCTATGTGTTATATTGAAAAATCAGCTGGTCCTAATAATAGTAAATCTTCATAAGATGAAGGAATTGTTAAACCCATCAGGTACCGTAACTGTTAGAGGACTGTACTCTGTGGTGATAAAATGAGCCTTAGTTGGCAAGAGGAATTGATTTGTAACCAAGCTGGCTTGATTTTACTATCAGCGATCTTATTTACAAACTCAATTAAGTCATTTGTAAATTTCTGCACCCCCAACCCCCCACCCCTCTACCACTAGTAAGCACATTGTTTTATATCTCTTTAAATTTACTTTAATTCAGAGTCATGGTACTGGATAATGGTTTAATAAAAGAATTTGATCAACCAGACAAGTTAATAAATGATAAAGAAACAACCTTTTATAGTATGGCAAAAGATGCTGGTCTAACCTAGTCTACCAAGTGTCTATTTTGAGACCAGGTCTTTCTAATTGTACCATTGCCAAATATACTGTGGCCTTAATGGCAGGTCTACTTTACAAATGACAGATCTCAAATTTAACAAGTCATTTTTTGATGTATGGAAATAAAAATTAAAATACTGTTTAGATCTATATTTTGTTACATCTCACAATGTCACAAGTAAACTGCACTATTGTATTTATACAATTTCTGAATATTGAAATTGGATGGATAATATTTTGGGGGGGGGGGGGGGGGGGTTTGATGCAGTAAATTATGTTTAGTTAAATTAAGCTAACTGGACAGAGTTGGTCAGCCTTTTACCTACCATGCATTAATTTGGTCACACAAAAATTCAGATGCGCCATATAAATCTTTTACCCCTGTCTTATTCTTGTAATAATATGGTTGTATTAAACACATATCGAACAGTTTATTAGTTTGATTCATTACAGGGGGGGGCTGGATGACCGAATGATCAGCGTGTTCGCGTTGTATCATAAGGTCTCTCATCGAGTCAAATGGTTGGTTTTGATTCCCCGGTTGTACGTGACAAGGAGTAGGGTCGCCTGTCCAACCTTGGGTTTCCTCCCACTGCTAAAGAAATGTACACGCAAGCGAATTAGTGATATAAAAATTGAACCATATGTTAGTCCCAAAATGACCTAGTTTGTATTGAGTGGACTTAACACTCTCTCTCTCTCTCTCTCTCTCTCTCTCTCTCTCTCATTCTCTCTCTCTCATTCTCTCTCTCTCTCGCTTTCTTGATTCATTAAGCATACAACTAAAAACAGATAAATGTTAAAGACTATAAAGGATATGCATGAAATAATAAAATCGTTAATGATTATGCTTGCTTACTGCCATACTTTATTATTATCACAGGGATGCAATGTACCACATCCTACTATTCTGTGCCGACTGGGTTAATAAAGACGAGCCCTGACTTAAACTATTAGCTAGGAATATATTATTTTGTAAATGTTATATATATTTGTATTATTATATTTTTATAGTTTAATTATAACCTAACAGCAGTGCTGGAAAGTATGAAATGGCTTCAAAGCTGGTTTTATATTTTGATCACAATCTAATTCATGCAGGAATACTTGTAATTATCATACCCTACCATGTGTATAACACCTACGACAATTCCATAAAGCATTCAGCTGAATGAATCGGCACTGAATTGCAATCGTATGTGTGGACATATTAGGTGAATTCCCCACCCGATTCACTAGTCGATTGCATCACCTTTCACATCAAATGGTTAAACATGGCAGCGATCATGTCTTCAAACAATCATGTGACTTCTCAATAACAGTTATGATTGGCCAATGAATTCTAAAATCGGTGAATGCTTCAGCCGAATAACACCGAACACACAAAGCAAATTTTGGTGCCCATTGATTCGGCCAGTGTGTCCTCCGTTTAACTAGGTCACAGCAGCAACTAAGCATCAGACCATTTGAAAATATTTGGATATTTTTCTTATCCTGTTCAGGAACGTATGGATGTATAAGAGTGTTTTCACTTCAGTATTATCTTTTAGAGCCAATATGGCAAATATATTCATCTTAATCAACCTCTTACCTGTTGAAAATGTGTGTCCTAGAAACAAACTAAGCATTATAAATATTAGATGTATACATTTTCATGCCAAAAGATTATTTTTTATTTGTAGTCAAACATAAATGCGTAGTGCTATAATTGAGTATATTGGACATAGATGCATAGTGCTATATAATATTGAGTATATTGGACATAGATGCATAGTGCTTTATTGAGTATATTGGACATAGATAACTGAAATATTCTGATCATATTAATCATAGTTTCTAGTGGTATATTTGATAAGACATTTATTCACATGGCAAGCCTATAATCAACTCTCTAAACCATTGGATAGCCTGGATATTTAATGGATTTGAACACCTGTGACATTTAATAATTTAATGTTATAATATATAATCGAGACATTGTTTATTATCGTAGCAATGGGACTTGACAATCAAGACTATCTTGTCAAAACTTCAACAGTAATTTGACTAAAATATTCGTTATATTCTCCTTTCATTATCTATTTTTTTAACTATGATAGCTTTCGAACAGCTCTTTATCTAAATCTTGCATTTTTGATTAAAACTATTTAAAAGATCTGAAAATTGTTCAATTTTTATTCGGCACCCTAAAAATAGGTTCACTGGAAAAATTTTGTATTTCCTAATGGGTATGTTTCTGGTAAATAATAACGAAATTTCAGTGTTTAAATTTGTCTACAGAAAACCATTTATTAGACCTGGGGAAAATAAACTTTATGGGCAATTATGATTGGTTGGGTTGCTGTCATCACTGGTCTTGCTGGGGTGGGTGTGGGGGGACCTAAAGCTGTAAAATGCTTAATACCCCCAACAAAAATATATAGAGGACAAGAGCACATTCCCTCTTTAGCCAAAGAGTTTAAATTAGAACAAAACTAGTAGCTTACCAATAAGAACCTGGGAGGGCTGCAACGCCACTCTAAAGATTTCATTTAATTTCTGCACAAATCATGATTGTTACTTTGTATTAAACATACATTATGCAAGAGCTAAATCTGCCTATGGCAGGTCTTTCTTTAGGCCTGAAATGTTATATAAACTATAAATAAGACATTTATTAATAAAACAATACCATAATCAACTCTTGATGGCATCGGATACTTGAGATTTTAACTAGATTAGAACTGTTTGCCATTTAAAAATTTAATTTAAAAATGGGAAACTGAGACTAAGTCTCGAATATACCAGTGCCCTGGTTACCACTATGCACACATCTTGTCAAAACAACAAACAGTGATAACTTGGCTCAGAATGAAGTAATTTGAATGAAATTTTCAATATCTTCATTTTACATTATCTATTTTTGAACGAACTATTATAGCAAGAATGGTCAGCTCTTTATCTAAATCTTACATAATGTATCTTTAACTATCCAAAGGTATTAATCCCTAAGCAACAAGCTTAAAAAGTGATATGGTTTTTTTTTATAGAAGTATGTTTGGATTAATGAATTGTTTATATATTTAGAAAAACAAAATGAATGGTAATATTTACCATATGATTGTTAGGGATAATTATTTTGTATCAGTAATATTTGTCAATGCTTGTTAGTGATAAGTATATTGTATATCAGTAATATGATGTGTATTGATTAGCTTATAAGTATTTTGTATATCAGTAATAACATGAGTATACATTAGTTGATAAGTATTTTGTATATCAGTAATGAGTATAAATTAGTTGACTGTTTTTTTCTTGATTGTATAAATGTAATAAAAATTTGTTTCTTATATAAACTGTGTTTGTCCTATCATTTGTTTATTATAGCTTGTATTAACTGTAATACTAAGTGCAGGATGACTGCACCACACCCAAACAAAATTTATACAACAAACTCACAAGCAATAATTAAATAACAAATGTATATATCAAATAAGGTGGGGTGTTTGTAGGGAGCCATTATAGCTCATGGTCAGTCACTAGCCATGAGGTCACAGGTTCGATCCCTGTGGCTGAGTGAGTAAGACATTCCATCAGGCATATATTCCCCATTATCAGTGATGTATAACGGGGCCTGGTAAGGGACCATGTAAGTCGGGTTCGGATGGGATGAAAACCGAGGCAAGCTCGTACAAAATCTCTTGATAACTTTGATTAACTGTGAGGTGATATGTAAATTAATAAAAGACTTCTAACCCACATATCCGAAGTTGAAGAGGCTTTTTGGAGCAGGGGGCGAAAGGTCTAACGTGCGCTTTAAATCAACTGGTTAGTCATTGGAGTCAAGTGGTATCATTTCAATCCCAAGCTTGTATATGATATGGTGTTGGGTTCCCCTCCCAACCCCGTGGGTTTTCCCCAGGTCTGGTTTCCTCCCTCCCATTGTTAAAAAGAGCATGTTTATTATTGAAATTAAATTTACCATATTATGTTAGTCCCAATATGACCTTGTTTGTGTAAATTGAATGTTAAACCCCTATTTCTCTCCCTTGGGGTAAATGTGATGAGATTGGTGACCATGCTCAACCAGTCTAATTGAAATTAGACTATACGTTTATTTCTTTTTTGTTTTCATGTCATTTATATTTCCACTACACTCATGTCTAACAAGAACTCAATTTGGGAGGGTTTTTTTCAACTGACCTGACTTGTCCCCCTCGTTTAGCAATAGTTAGATAATGAAATAAGGTTTAACGTGACCCTTTTGCTGCACCATAGTTTCATCAATCAGGACTGGATGTACAGAACATAAAAATAGAGTTATCTCTCTTTAGGATTTCTTCCAATCAAATTTTATTATTCTCCTTACTGCATGTTGCAGCGTGATTAGCAACCGACCCTACTCGATAATTTTTGTGCAATTTTTCTTAATTTGTACCCAAAAATCAAAATCAAAATGCCACCAAAAAAGAAGAAAGGAAAGGGGAAAAAGAAAGGGAAAGGCAAGAAGAAAGATGGTAAGGAATTTAAATCATTATTTTTTCTACAAAAATAATTATGACATTTGACAATATTTTTGTTTTGTTTTCAGTTGTTTTTTTTCGCAAGAATCAGCTGATACTGATGGGCAACTGTCTAGAAAATGATAAGAATCAATCAGTGAATCAGGTCCCGGTTTCACAAAACATTCTCGGGCTTTAGTTAAAGGGACAATAACACTCTTGCTGGCTTGAAAGCTCTAGAAAATAAATAATATCTCTGTCTAAGTACTAGATGTTTAAGTGTCCTACCTGCTGTGTAAATTATCCATTACATCCTATTTTACTTGTCCAGAGGGTTCGAAAATATTTTTAAATCGAAGTTTCATTTCAAAAGGTTTACGTTAGACGTTTCAAACCATTATGTTGAATTTTTCAAAATTTTTAAATAAGGTGTGTTAAGATGAAATTTGTATCATCAATTACTTGAAATATTCTAAAATAGTACAATTTGTTGACCAGAATAAAGATTGGGACATATTATTCAGTTACAACAAGAGTGGTATTGAGCCTTTAAGAATTTACTCAAAATTGTTCGCCTTATTTTAACTAAACTATAGCCCTGTATAAGTTTTATATTATTTATAAAACGTTTGTTGTATCAAATAGTAAATACACCAATTCAATGGGCAATTATAACATGTTACTATGTTAACATTTTTGTGTTTTTGGATCAAAGATATTGAGTAAAGAATACTTTGTGAAGCTGGGGCCTGGATAGGCTATACCTTGCCGGGAAAAGAGGCCCTCAAGTTCAAATTAGCCATAGAAAGATTAGAAGAAAGAGCTATACAGTTTGAATATAGTAGGCCTGCTAGTAGTAAAGCCTAATAAAAATAGCAAAGTTGTTTGTATAGTTTATTAATAAAATAATTGCCATTAAAAACTTGATATCTTTTTTTCTTCCAGATGCTACTTTGATGTTAGAAGATAAATATAAAAGAACAGTTGATGAAATACAGGCTCTAAAAGATCATTTAGGTAAATATCATTTAACATTATAATTATACATCATTTTGACCTAATAAAAAGGTGGGTAGCACTCAACTGAACTATCTTCTTTTTTACTGATCAATGACAAAATCTAGAATTTGCAAAAATTGTTTGTGAAGATAAAAAAAAACATGCACCATACCCATGGACATTAAAATAAATACATTATTGGTACATGTTTCTATCTTGACCAAGTATATAGCCCACCACACCGGTCACAGGACAGTTTGTAATTTAAAGGAAGATAAGATTTATTGCATCAAAATGCCTACAAGAGGCTGCATACATAAAATGAGGGTAGATCAAATTATTTTAAATGACATCTTAAACTTAAATTAATTTTTTATTCTCCATTTTAGCAATACGAAAGGAGTTTACAAGGCGATCAGTTGTTTATAAAGATGAAATGCGTCAAAGAATGCTGGGAGCTGAAGATGATCTGGAAGACCATAAAAAGGATCAAAAGGACATTAGTGCTGGTAATAATTATTTTAATCTTTTGTAAGTTTGTTTTTATTTTTTAAGTCAAGTCGGCTTCATGGCAGACCTGTGACTGCAGTGTACAGGTCAGTGGACACTTCCCCAGATCCATTAACTCGATTTGGTTGTTATATTATTGTTTATTACGTAAAATTTATATTATTTATAAGTTATAACTAAACAGTACAAAACTATGGATATTTACCGTACTTTATATCATTATTTTAGATAACTTCATTATAGAAATGACTGGACAGTACAAGACTATTATTTACACTAGAAGTTTTATTATATATACGACTAGAAAGTGCAAGACTATATTATTTACACTATACAGGGCTGGGGTAATGGTAATGGGTAATGGTAATGGAATGTAATCATTACATTTTTTAAGTAATGAAAATGTAATGAGTAATGGAAGATTTCAAAAGTAATGAGTAATGGAAATGTAATTAATTACATTCCAAAAATCATGTAATAGTCAATTACATTTCAATTACTTTTCAATTACATTTTATGGCATATATAAATATTTCCAAAATGACAAGCCTCAAATTTTATAGCACCAAAGAAGTAATTAAGTGTATCTGACACAAATCCAATTCATTATAATTCTAAAAAAAAGATTTAAATCAGTTTTAAAAAATTATAAGAAAAATCAGAAGGCATTAAACATTTTCTTTTATTACTTTTTATGTAGGAACCCTTTTTAGACATGTAACCTAAGAAGTGGATTTCTGATAAGATGTATATTATAATCAAAGATTAGTACTAATTTGCAGCCAATCAATCAATCAATCAATCAGTCAGTTAGATTAAAAGACAATAGTCTTGCTGCACTTTAATCTTAATCTCAAGGTAACAAGTGACAAACCAAACAATGACCTTTAAGTATCTCATCATTTTATGGTTACTTAAAACTAATATATATTTTGTTTTAGAGTCATGCTGAATAATTTACCATTTATTATACAATATATTATAGAAAAACTATTTGGACTGATTACAATTTTTTAAAAATTACTTAAAATGAAAATACAGTTAATTAACTATAGTTTTGATTCATTTTTCAAGTCATACAGTGAAAATGTCAGTTTTTGTCACCACTGCCCATCACTATAAAATTTGCCTTGATGTTATAATTGTTAGAAATAATAATTCATAAACAAATATCTATTAAGTGAATCAAGGATTAGTTTGAGTTTGATTTTGTAGGTACTTCATGGCAGAAAAATAAGGTTGTCTTTTTAATTTCTATGAAAAACTTTTTTTTGTCACCACTGCCCGTCACTATAAAATTTGCCTTGATGTTATAATTGCTAGAAATAATAATTCATAAACAAATATCTATTAAGTGAATCAAGGATTAGTTTGAGTTTGATTTTGTAGGTACTTCATGGCAGAAAAATAAGGTTGTCTTTTTAATTTCTATGAAAATTTTTTTTTTATTTATATAGTCATAAAGTAATGGGTAATGGTAATTAATTACTTTCAATGTAATGGGTAATGGTAATTAATTATATGGCTAAAAATTAGAAAGTAATTGTAATGATTACATTTAAAAAGTAATGGTAATGTAATTAATTACATTGGCAATGTAATGGCCCCAGCCCTGACACTATAACTAGTATAACTTTATTATAGATACGACTAGATAGTACAAGACTATATTATTTACACTATAACTAGTACAACTTTGTTATAGATACGACTAGACAGTACAAGTCTATATTATTTACATTATAACGTTATTATTGATATGACTAGACAGTACAAGACTATATTATTTACATTATAACTTTTTTATAGATATGACTAGACAGTACAAGACTATGCAAACGGAAATGGGATTAAGGATTCACCAGTTGGAAACTGAATTAGCCAGAACACGTACTAAACTTAGTAAGTAGAGATCAATAAATCATATAGCTTTACAACTTTGATTACCTGTGATGTGTTATGTAATTTATTAATAGAAGTCTTCTAACCCACAATTAAAGGGTATTATTGGAGATTAAATAACGAATTGACAGTTCTTACTATAATAGTTAGAAAATAAATAGCGTAAATAGAATATGCTGAAAATTTCAGTCAAATTGCTCCACTCTGAACCGAGATATTAGCTTTTGAATTTTAGGCTAGCTTTGATCACCATTACTAAAGTTGGTACGATAAACTACAAAGTCTTGATTATCCATTTTTACGTTTAATTATTTTTCAAAAAAAGTATTCCAATCCGATAAATATGGTAGGTTAGCGATGGCATCGAGAGTTGATTATGGTCTGGATAAGTTAATTATCATGTCTAATTAATAATTTAGATATTATTTCAGGCCTAAGGAAAGACCTGCAATAGTCATATTTAGCTCTTACATATTGTAGCCTATGTTTTAAGAGGCATTAGTGCTTATGGAATGTGTGATGTTATAGGTGTTTCATAAATAAACTTTTTTTAAAATTAGATGATGTTTAAAATTTTAGATTTATTTTGTGGTTTTCAAGGAGTTCAACAAAAGCCCTTGACAAATATCTTAGTCTAAAGAGATGATTGCTTGGATGAGTGTGAGACATAATTTCATTAGAAATGACAAGACAGGCTAGACAACTATGTTAACATAATATTATATTTCAGCTGATACAGAACTTCAGCTAAAAAAGACAAAGGAAGAGAAAGACAAGAAAATACAAGATAGAGAATTAACTATCAGTGAATTAAAACTAAAGATGAACAGTATGGAGAAGGATTATGAAGCATGCTTACGAGTAAGTGCATGATAAAAGGACCAAAGCCCCACCCTCTACCTGGTAACCTACCTTACAATAGAAATGATGATCGCCCGATTTTTTAAGTTTTTTGATAGGGTAACCTACTAAAATTGTGAAATCTGACAACTGTTATAAGTTTATGAGAAAGCCACCCAGTATGAGTTTAGAAGTATATGAAGATGCAGGCAATCTGATTAAAGCACAGATCCTATTTCGTTTCGTTTTTTTATAGTTCCAAATTTTGTTTTATTTGTCTGTACTACACTAGAATCTGGAAGAGTTGTTATATAACCTACGTTCTGGATGGCATGAGGGATTAGCCAATGAAACCATGCACGGAACTGTGGATAAACCACTAGAAACACCAACGCGGATTAATTATTCAATGTCTGGCATTATAGGGTCCCAAGCCATTCCTACGACCTCGATGCGGCCTTCAACTACAGATCTTCATGTAGTGTAGGCCATCGAAAGTATAAAAACACGAAACGAAATATAGATCTGTATTTTAATCAAATTGAGATGCAAGTGGCATATTTAATATAGTGACAGTAACTAAGTTTGGTGCCAGAAATTAGATCTTCTGCTATTCTGGTTTCATGAAATTCATGTATTAAAACCTAGATTCACAGCTTGTGCATCTTCAATAGAAGGCTTCATCTCGCTTTAACTCTATACATCTTATCAAGGCCTTCATGTAATACCCTGGATGTTTTATCACTAATTTCAATTGGCTACTGACCAAGCTGGGGAGCGTATCAGATTCCTCGATCATCACAAATACCAAGGCTCTCACTTTCCAACTAAAATGTCTACCTTTGATAATAGAGTTGCAAAGTTCAAGGATCGTTGAATGTCAAGGTTTTCGTGGAGGTCGCTATATTTGATTTGAGCCTGTTTGTGTCACAACTTCTGATTGGACACTACTAGTACTGTTCAGGTGTGTGCGGTAAATGGAGATAACATAAGCTAAAAGTTCAGGAATTGTAAAGCAATCTAGCAACGTCCAGATGTTGTAAAACCCACAGTCGTTTCTTCAGGAACAAGTTGGTTGTGGGACTGCAGGAGTGTGTACAATTAATAGCAATTATTTCAAATTTCAAACAGTACTTCATTGACCCCCCCCCCCCCTCCCAATGAAATGAATGGCCAGGTCCTTCAATCTCTGCTATCCCCTTTCTGCCACTGTGAAGATGTATATTAATTATTGTTGTTTAATTATTTCTTTTTACAGCAAGCATTCGATCTCCTAGTAGACAAAGTAGAATCATCCAAAAAACTGTGGGAAGAAAAATCTACAACAATACAAGCTAAAAATAAACAAGTGCTTCTAGAATTTGGTCTTAATCCTTTAGAAATATAATCTACATTTGTATGTAAAGAACAAATTAGTGATGAGTGTTGTGCAGGTAGCAGTGTATTATTATCTTGGTAGTATGGAATCAACTTGATACTACTTCTATAATGTCTAACATTTGAGAGAATTCCCGGATTCTTCTGTTTCTAATTATAACTGTACTGGAAATATCTCTTTAAGAGTCTGTTAGACTTACATTATTAGATGTCTATGACATTTGAGACAATTCCTGGATTCTTCTGTTTCTAATTATAACTGTACTGGAAAGATCTCTTTAATTAAGGGAGTCTGTTAGACTTACATATTATTAAATGTCTAACATTTGAGAGAATTCCTGGACTGATCACTTGGTTGATCCACTGTGTAATATAACTGCTCTGGAAATATCTCTTTAAGATCATGTTAGACTTATGTTTTGTTTAGCAATCTTTAGGTATTTTATAAATAAAATATATGTTTATTGTTTAGAGAAAAGAATTGTGATATATATTGTAAATAATGATTATTATGATATTTCCTCTTAATATATGTAATATTGATAATGTTATTTATTAAAAACATTTTTTATACTAGATATATTTGTAATTTATCATCTGATCCTGTTTATCTAAAAGAGTGTTTTCACTTCAAAATATTGCTAGCCTAAGGTGTTCTAAGGTTTAATTGTTTGTTGATTTCCCCTTTTCACTGGTACAGTTCCGAGAGCCTGTCAAGGACAGCTGTCTAGTTGTTCGGATGGGACGAAAAACGAGGTCCTGTGTATACATTGGCGTGCATGTAAAAGATCCCTTGTCAGTTGGAATTCGGTATAAGAGTAGGCCATAGTGCCGCTGCCAAGGCAAAATTTCCCTCATAGCACACTGTATGGCTTATGCCCGTCTTCATTAGCCCAGTCGGAGTAGGATAGTAGGAAGTTAAACCCCATTTCAGTTCTGTTTAGTGAATTGGTTGAAATTCTAATTTATGATATTTAAATAGACTGACAGGTAAATTTCCTCCCAGTTAGTATATAATATTATATAGTATATAATAGAATTGGAAATAAGATTGAAGTAAGAGCCCTGGTCCAAACCACTTAAAGTAGCTATTTTTAAGTCTTTAACTCAATATCGACATTGAAAACACGAATTATTTGTCAATTTAAATCAGCATTGATGTTGTGATCTTACCGATACACGATGAGCTTCCGACATTGATAATCACACTTCCAAATTCAAAAATAAATATATGATTAAGGCATAAAAACTATGCCATAGAGAAGCCAACAGTATCTTTGCTATCAGACAGGCAAAACTTAAGTCAATATTTTGGGGGTTTGGTTTAGGAATTCTTTGCTTTGGCCCCAAATGAGTTCACTGTAAGTAACCTTCATTGTATTTAAAGCCCCCAACATACATATGTCTGCTAGATATAGCTTTGGAAGAATTAGAGTTAAATATAGAGTTTTTAGATCCCAGAATTAAGCCACGCCACAAGATAAATGTACTTCAGTAGCACGACAATTTTTCACAAAGCTAGGATTAATTTCAACTCTATTTCCATTAAACATAATATATTTTGTAAATTCCAGGAATTCTAAGTTATTCATTTTGGATATTAAGACATAACACGGGCATAATTTTGTAGGATTCCGACAAGTTAGTTTCCTTCCAGATATAATGTCAGGGACTCGGGGCCATATGGCGTAAATCGTGCTGACAGTTCCACTCCACACCAACAATATGAGTAAACCGTGCTGGCAGTTCCACTCCACACCTACAATATGGCGTAAATCCTGCTGACGGTTTCACTCCACACCAACAATATGGCGTAAATCGTGCTGACAGTTCCACTCCACACCAACAATATGGCGTAAATCGTGCTGACAGTTTCACTCCACACCAACAATATGAGTAAACCGTGCTGGCAGTTCCACTCCACACCTACAATATGGCGTAAATCGTGCTGACGGTTCCACTCCACACCAACAATATGGCATAAATCATGCTGACAGTTCCACTCCACACCAACAATATGGCGTAAATCGTGCTGACGGTTCCACTCCACACCAACAATATGGCGTAAATCGTGCTAGCGGTTCCACTCCACACCAACAATAGTGGTAAATCATGCTGGCGGTTCCACGCCATACCAACAATATGGCGTAAATCGTGCTGGCGGTTCCACGCCACATCAACAATATAGCGTAACTCGTGCTGGCGGTTCCACGCCACATCAACAATATGGCGTAAATCGTGCTGGCGGTTCCACGCCACATCAACAATATAGCGTAAATCGTGCTGACAGTTCCACTCCACACCAACAATATGGTGTAAATCGTGCTGACGGTTCCACTCCACACCACCTATCTCTGTATAAACAGAAAACAAACTTGTTTGATTTTAAACCTTATAAATACTTTTAATAAGTAAATTATAAAATAAAACTATAGGTAAAAAATCACATTATCGACAATATAGTTTGTCGATTCATAATATATTTCAATATAAACGTTTCAAAAATAAAATATATCGTTATGAAAATTTGAGACTTCATTGTCGGATGTTTGACCATAATGGGCGCTCATAATCGTTGTGTACTTTTCCGATTTTTGAAATTAAAAATCATTTTAATCAAAGGCGCACCATTTGTCTCTACCTGGTGGGGGAAGTCGAACTCATGCTAATTTGTGGTAGGCTCATGCTAATTTGTCCACCTGTCCCCAGCTCTGCTCTGGACTGCAAATACTGTTTTGGTATCACAAGATTTAAATTAAAACAGAAAGATTTTAATTACATACGAGTAGAAACTCGTCTTATTTCGAACTAACGAGATCGTTGGTAGAAGGTGAAACTCCTGGACCGTATATTAATTTATTGCTCTACACGGTTTAACATATAATTAAATCGTTTAAGAGACACTTATTTTACAAAATCTTCAAATTCTGGATTGAAAATACGATGACACCGAATAACCTCAATCTTAAAGGATAATGTTGTCCACCAGTTTTACATAGATTAAACAGATTACAAATAAGTACAGATCTTTACTATGGTTGAACCGTAACGCCTACCCACGAGTTCCGGGTGTGACTATATATTGTCTTCTTCAGAAGACGAGGAGTTGTAAAATGAAACTGAAAGGATGTCAGTTCGAACCTGAATATCCAAACCAAGAAAGCATTTTTTATTTACATGGATACCATGATCAGACATTCTCGACAACATGTTCATGTGGATATTATTGTTAAAATGAATGAAATCGGGTACACCAAACAGCCTTTTCAATCATCATCTTCTATTTTCGCCACACTAATGCCGGGAGTTGCCTTTGCCTTTTTACGATGGCGTCTTACTAGTGGTTCCATTAATAAAATTAGAGCAGTAACAAAGGCAGTAGCACCGAGAAACTGATAGGCAGCAACATAGCTCCCTGTCACATCCCGTAATAGACCTGAAAATATTTTTTTGAATTTTAAAAGCCATGTAACATTGGAATAATATTAATTAAATCCTGGTAGCGGTTACCTGTCGGGTTGTCGTGTCGGAACTTATAATATGTCCCTATCTCTTCATGTGGGTCACGGTGGCTAAGTGGGTAAGACGCTGGCTCGCTAGCCTGGAGGTCGGGTGTTCGATCCCTGCATTGGCCGAGAAGGTTCATGCAGACTTCCTGGCGTGGTTTCCCCTTGTCAGTGATGCAGAATGGAGGGCCTGACAAGGACAGTTGTCTAGTCGTTCGGTTGGAACGAAAAACCGAGGTCCCATGTGCACATTGGCGTGCACGTTAAAGATCCCTTGGCAGTTGAAATTCGATATAAGAGTAGGCCGTAGCGCCGCTGCCCGGGCAAAATTTCCCTCATAGCACACTGTATGGCGTATGCCCGTCTTCATTAGTCCAGTTTAGGAGCAGAACAGTAGGACGTTAAACCCCATTTCATTTCATTTCCTATCTCTTTATATTAAGATTATCGCGTAAGAGTTTCATTACTAGCAATACCCTACTCCTTGTCACGTACAACCAGGGATTCGAAACCACGCCAGTTGACTCAATGACAGGCCTAATGATACGTGCTAACCATTCGGACACCCAACCCCCCAAATTGCTATGGTGTATTTGATAAAATCAATCTTCGTTATCTTTTCATACAAATTCCTGTAAAAGAACTTTGCTTTGTCACCTTGGGGAGATTTGTTATACTTACCTAATAATGGAAACATTGCTACACTAGATATTCCACCATACAGCTGCACAAAACCTAACACAGGACTTAATTTAGCTAATCCCACTATATCTATCAATATGACAGTTAATAACGCAAAATAAGCACCAGAAAATAACCCCATCACTACTGTAAACACCACAAGCCGGGGGAAATCTGTACAAAATCCAACAAATTGAAAAGAAACCCCGAGAATAATCAACGATATAATCACAATATTCTGTTTTCTTATCCAGTTTTTATCAGCTATTATTCCAATGATAAATCTACTACATAGATCAACTGCTGCTAGCACCATGAGGAGGTTGGAGGATTGAGTACTGTGTAGACCCATCTCTTTATTTAGAGGCGGTAATAAAAGGCCCCCGGTACCAACTGCAATTGGTCCAAAGAATGTAAAGGCCGATATGATCAGGAAACGATAGTCTTGGAATAATCTGAAGTCAAACACTCTGATGAGCTTTAGAAAAAGTCCTGGAATGGATTTGGTTACTATTTCACTCTTATCCTTTTCCTGGTCCACGATTCTTCGATTTTGAACACTTAATTGTAACACACTATCTAGGAGTATAACTTTGTTAATATGAGAAACACTGGCCGATTTAGATATAGATTCGTCCAAATTTTTATCTAAAGGAAATCTTTTATCAACAACAATATTATTTTCGCTGTTGCTTAATATTTTGGGTGCCACAAGGGTTGAGCGACCGGCAATAAGATTTAAGCCATAGAAAGAACCAACGTCCGCCACTGCGAGAGTAGCATCAATAGTGACAGCTGTTTCAGAGCATTCCTCATCTGTTTGCATTTCTTTAGGTTTTAACGGACGAAATAAACAAGCAAATGGAATAATATTAAACATTAGACCACCGTATATTAATAAAGCCCCACTATATCCTTCTGTATCCAGTAGATAGTTTAACATAGGTGCAAACAGCATACCTCCTAAACTGGATCCACAGGTGGCAAAAGCTGTGGCAAAGGAACGGTATTTATTAAAATATTGACCTAATATTACAAAGGTTGGACTGAATACCATTCCATGAGCAGCACCTGAAAAATTCAAATTAGGGGAGGGAGGTTAGCATTCACTTAGTTTGGGATTATCAAATAATTGGCCTGAAAACCCAGGAGGTTACAATACGACCCTACTTAAGATACTTGAATAGATGACAGGCTGTATGATCAACAGCCCAGCCCCACCCACCCCACCCCCGACTGTATGATCAACAGACACCCCCCCCCCCCCAACCCGCTACAAGCCAACAACAAGACTCCTCGAATTGTTATGGCTATACGTATTTTTTATGTTAATCTACTTAGAGTGTTGAGACAAACAAATGTTTCGACAAATTCTGTGGAATAATAAAAATTAAAAAAAAATAAATAAATAAAACCCACACAGGTGTTTTAGAATTGGTGCGCATGTTCGGCCTCGTACGGACTGAAATCTGCAACCTAGCACAACCCAAACCACCCAAAGTCATTTTTAGATTAACTCCCGATACATTAATTGTGTTTCGTTGTTACGTTTATCTCTTTAGCAGAAGCATACTGAAAACCCCCAAGACATGAAGTAGGCATCGATTGTCATAATTATTATGTGAATTCATAAAGGGCCGTTTTATTAAGCATCAAGGAAATAGAAGCAAAGCGTTTCCATAAGAGCAGACTGGTATGTCCCCATGTCCAATTAAGCAGGAGGTATTTTTTATCTGTAACAATATTTACCATGGAATTACACTTTTCATTCTACAGATATTTGTTCGTGACTCTACGATCATGTCGTCCAGAAAGTAGTAACATTAAGTGATAACGTAATACAAGATTTTATATAATATAATAATATATATATATATGTCAACCGGGCATTCGTCGGTCATGGTTAAATTGGACAAACTTTTGACCTTTTGATGAACTTATATTCTATACATGAACTGTAGTGTAAATTAATATATTTCCCCAGCACTCTTTAACAAACAAAACTTTAAATATTTCTGATATCACCTGTCTTAATTGTATTTATTCAGAAATGCAAGAATCTCACCAGGGGGTGTTTAGATGATTACAATGAGAGGGTGGGATAGAGGAAGTAGATGGGGGGAGGGGGGGCGGACCGAATACCAACAAAACCGAAAACAACCCCTGTTAGTGTAGGGTGCTTACAGAATATCAGTGACAGTGGCTAAACCTCCACGAAACACAATCTGATTAAATATAGATCTATACTTCGTTTCGTTTTTTTATACATTCGATGGCCTATAGTATATGATTAAAATACAGATCTATATTTCGTTTCGTTTTTTATACTTTTGATGGCCTACACTACATAGAGATCTGACAAGTTGTTTTGGGAGGTCGCGTCAGTGGTCATAAAAGCGACTTTTGACACTATGACGTCAGCCATTTGATTAACCAATCAGCATTGATGTTTGTAGTAGATAACCCATAGTTCCATGCACCTCACGCCTAATGCTCGCCGTAACAGACCGTTTCATTGGCTAGTCCGTCACATCATCTAGAACACGTCAATGATAACAACTCTTCCAGATCCTAGTGTAGTAAAGACAAGTAAACCAAAATTATGAATTATAAAAAAAACGAAACAAAATAGGATTTGTGTTTTATTCAGTTTTCACGAAACATTGATGTACTCTGAATTCCGATGGTGTTCCCCTGAATATTACAGAAAAGTTTTAAGCTAAATCACTCCAAATCTGACCTGTCCAGGATTTATAAGGCAACGTGATAAGGCAATGTATGTGTGAAAAATAGAGGCGTGATTCATAAATTTGACATGGTCCCCAGTAAGTTGGAATGTTGGGCGTTTAAAATACGTTTTGCATTTAACAGGGACAATGATTTTAAAGGGCTGATTTTTTTTCTGCTAAATATCGAGATTTGCACGTACCTGCTAATATACACTCTGTCAGTATAACATAAGTTATGTCAGATGCAAACACCTTTAAAATAACATTGATACCATAAATAAATCCCCCTACAGCTACTACTGATCGAACAGTTATAAATTCTAATATAATATTATGTACCAATAGAGCTGTAATATAAATACTGATATAAATACTAATATTATGTAGCAATAAAGTTGTAATATAAATACTAATATAACTACTAATATAATATTATATACCAATAAAGTTGTAATATAAATACTAATATAACTACTAATATAATATTATATACCAATAAAGATGTAATATAAATTATACTCATATAACACCATTACCATTACTGATATAAATGCTAATGTAATACCATGCTTTGCTCTAATAAAGATATCATATTATAATATTAATACAAGCAACGCTTTAGCCTGACCGACTATTGGCTTTAACCTTTAAGGGACATTATTAACCTAGCCTTATAAATGACAAGACTGGTCATTTATACAAATGCCAATGTGAAAATTTACTCAAATGAGATAAAACGTGTATAGTTACGCCGTTGGAAATATCACTTGTTAGTAATAAATGACAGAAGAAATTAGACCCTTAATTTTCAACCAAGAGTTAAGAAATGAAAGAAAAAACCTTGCTACTTAATTAGTACTTCCTACTTAAACATGCATTATGCAAGAGCAAAATCTGCTCATTACAAGTCTTTCTTTAGGCCTGAAATGTTATCTAAATTATCAATTAGACATTAATTAACTTATCCAGACCATAATAAACTCTCGATGTCAAGGCTAGCCTACGATGTTGGCTGGATTAGATTCTTATATGCCGCTAACGGCCGTTGATAATTAAATCAGAAAAAGTGGATAATCGAGACTATGCTGTTTATATTAATGATTTTAGTAATGATGACCGAGACTATGCAAAAATTTCACCCGCTTCTTTCTCGGCTCATAGTGGATCAATTTGACTGAAATTTTCAGCAAATTACCTTTACACTATCTACTTTTTAACTATTATAGCGAGAACTGCCATCTCTTTATCTTATCTCCCATAATGTATCTTTAATTACTAGGATAAATTAATATGCATTGATTGTCATTTATTCAAAATCTGTAAAATACTATGTCAAAATTCCAATAGCACACAGATACGATAACATGGAATCATATGTTCCGTGTGATGTGGCATAGTGTATTTCATTTCCATTCAATTGTAAATTATTTAAATAAAACAATATTATGTACGGATGACAGGTTTTAATTAAAGGCGTTTCCTACAGCGCTCTGGCGTATGACAGTTCAGCTCAAATAAATATTCAATATTTGCACAGAAAATATATGTGAGCATATTCTTCGTGATGAAAACCAATGAGGTGGGGGTAAGTTTCGACAGCTACAGCCAACACAGTTATGAAATCCGTTTGTAAGTGTTACGAAATGTTTGTTTTGCAGAATATAGGTTGGTAACTTAGTTAATATTATACTGTTACCTGTTATAGATTGTACTCCACAGCTAAACCCCATAGTTAAAGCTGTCGTCACTGCAGATGTCTCAAATCTTTCTCGGTATTCCACAAATAAAATTCCAAACGTTCTTATATAACCCATACACAAGGTATTGGTCATGAAACATGCTGAAAACCCCCAAAACAAATCAACAAAATTCTAAGCATTAAGAAGTATTTGGATCGATCGATCATGGAATTCTACAAAGTTAACTTCTGTTTGCTACCTTAAACATACATTATGCGAGAGCTAAATCTGCCTATTGCAGGCCTTTCTTTAGGCCTGAAATGTAATCTATATTATTAATTAGACATTAATTAACTTATCCAGACCATAATCAACTCTAGACATTGGCGTACGAGCTGGGGGGGCCGGGGGGGGGGGGGGCACCAAATGCTGGGAAAATTTGGGCACACAATTGTACTTTGTAAAAGTTGTATAAAAAAATATTGTGTTCTTGAATGCGTCCAATTTAACAGCGAATTTAAATTCAGAGTGTCTATAGTTAGGCAATTAAATAGAAATCTTAAGACTCGAACCCTCTATTGTTTGGAGTACAGTAAGCCACAAATTACAGTTACATAAACAACTGTTTTTAGTTGTGTATATTACAAGTAAATAAAATTTACTTCTTTTTTATTGATGATTTAGAAATTAAGAACTTATTCATCGCAAAAGAGATATTATGAATCTTATGTAACATACTAAGAACCTAACTACATTTTTGGGTCACCCCCCCCCCCCCGCCCCCAGTAAAAAATTTCCCCGTACGCCTATGACTCTAGATGGCATCGCTAGCCTACGATATTTACTGGATTACAATCCGATCTGCTGCTCAACGCTCACTGATGATTAAATCAAAAACATGGATAATTGAGACTGTTTTTATCGTGCAGACTTTAGTCATGATGATCGAGGCTAAGCCTAAAATGCAATCACTAAATTCTCGGTTCAAAAAATTCCCTTTACATTATCTAGTTTTTAACTATTATAGTGAGAACTGCCAGCTCTTTATCTAATGTCCCATAATGCATCTTTAACTTGTAAGTCTAAGTACAAACGTTATATGCACGGTGGTTTAAATTTTATTATAAAAGACAATATCTGCTGTTCTATACCTTATTCTGGGACTGGGCAAGAGTAATATGCAATTATTATTTTTTTTAAAAAAAACCAAACAACCAAACAGTACAGACAATACAAATGTATATTCAACTGAAATGATAGTGGATATATTCGGAATACAAGCTGTTACATTGTAATATGTCGTCAGTTCGATCCAACGATGTCTATTGGCAAGGATTAGGGTCGTATGCCACATTAACGAAATAAAAATTAAATTGCTAGTCCGGAAATGATTTACTTGTGTTAAGTGATTAGGAACATTGTATGTCGAAAGATATTTAAGTGTAATCGATTAATAGTCAGTCACAAAATGCACATTCAAACAATACAATGTTTTTGTGTGTTTTTTTTTCTTACAATATAAAAAATAACAATTCAAGCCATTAAGAAATTCTTACCAAACATAATAACCCATGCCCAACCATGATCTATAGGTGATTCCTTTCCTTTGTCAACTTTACCATTATCATCAATTAATGGCGAACTTTTGTTGATATCTTTTCCCTCCATTGTTCTGGTCTAATAATAGATAGAGAAACAGTCTGGTTCAGTGTGTATATAAACAAAACAACACAACGTTCTAGCGTAGCGTATTCTCGAATCAGTATCACACAGTTGGCTTGTGGGCAATTAGAATAGGTTTAGTTATATGCTTGTGTATTCTAATTATGTTAACCTATATTCCAAATCATACTCAATATCCGACAGCTTATCTATAAAGAAATGCGTTCATGTTAATATCGTCAAGCCTACGGTTAGGGTATGCTGTAGTTTAAGACACATTTTAAAGAGATATAATCACTAGAAAACATGTATCATTTTGGCCAGGGTTTTTTGTTTATTGTATTTTGGTTTGTCTGACGAATGCCTCGGGTGACCGTGCCTAGGTCATGTTTTTTTCTCAGAATTTCTAATACGATATCTAAAAAACAAATCCCTGTTTTCCTACAGATTCCGTGCTGAAATACTACCACTGCCACTACTAAGCAAAGTTCACCTGTGTCTTTAAACCACCTACAAATGGAACGTTTGTTTTACCATTACACTATACACCCGCATGCCATACCACGAAACTATTATTAGGGAAGTACAGGAGTCACGTGTATGTTTGACTTATATGTATAGGTTATAACGCAAATAAAATGAAATGAAATGAAATGGAGTTTAGCGTCCTACGTACTGTTCTGCATACGTCATACAGTGTGCTATGAGGGAAATTTTGCCCGGACAGCGGCACTACGGCCTACTCTTTATATCGAATTCCAAATGTCGAGGGATCTTTTACGTGCACGCCAATGTGGACCTCCGTCCTGCATCTCTGACAAGGGGGAACCACGCCGAAAAATCTGGATGAACTTTCTCGGCCAATGCAGAACACCCGACCTCCAGGCTTGCAATCGCGAGCCAGCGTCTTAAAGCCACTTTATAGCAACAAAACTAATTCTTACTTACGCTCTATCACTAACCGTCGTAATTGACTTGAATTGAATTCGAATTTACTTCTCTAACGTGGTCGTTTAAACGTCGAGAAGATTTAAGCCGTTTAATCACATATTAGCCGTTTCAACAACTTAATATTGTGTGATAAAATAAGTGTTGGTATCCACAATGGGTATAATCCTACGTAGAAATCAAATTAACTTTTGTGGGTAACCATATATGAATACCATACCGGTACACTATTCTGGGGCTCCATGGGCTTTTATGTCGAGAGCAAAATCTGACTTACCTTTCCAACCTCTAAACACTTATTTCATCAAACAAAATGAAGTGGTTTAAAGACAGAGAGAGAATTGGTGCTTAACGTGCAATCGACACAATATAATTCTTTTAAATTGGTCTTCTGTCATGTTGCCCATGTAATGATAAATCTCCCATAGAGCAAACATTCACATTTTCTTAAAAGAAAAAATCAAATAATTACCCCACAACAACCGTTTAATACAATTATGAATACGGCTCTATCCAGTTTTGAAAGGCGAGATGGCATAATTTCGATCAGCATATAAAAGAAAAGTCCCAGATGTTACAGGACATAATTTGAAACACGTGGGTTGAGCTGCAAAGAAATTGCCTATTGACCGTACTTGAAAGTTGCTAAAAGCCTTGTCCACAATCCGTCGTACCTGTTTTGATAGTAGTGGTGGGACGATACATCGATACGTATCGGGATCGCTATACAGAGGTTGGCGATATATACTGTATCATTTTAGCATTGGGTATCGCGATATATCGCCGAGCAATTAGACATATTGCGTTTTTTTAAGTATCGTCTACTTTACTCACTGAAATTGTTTGAAATAAATGATTCTCTGTTCAAAGTTTCTTTCAATAATACTGTCGGATGTTCTACATGGTGTAGGCGTAATTTATTACCACCATCACCGGCGTCCCAACGGTACTTGCATCTTGCATTTTCAGAGTGAAGCCGCATTCCATGATGTATTTAATTACTACTGTAAGTTACGTGACGGTTCCACTCCACTGACTTAAATCGTAGTAACTTTTCCACTCCACGCCAACAATATGGCGTAAATCATGCTGACGGTTCCACTCGGCACCAACTATCTCTATATAAACAGAAAACAAACTTGTTTGATTTTAAACCTTATAAATACTTTTAATAAGTAAATTATAAAATAAAACTATAGGTATAAATTTATATTATCGACAATATAGGTTGTGGATTCATAAATATTTCTCAATAAAATACATGTTAACGTTTCAAAAAAAAACTATATCGTTATGAAAATTTGAGACGTCATTGTCGGATGTTTGACCATAATGGGCGTTCATAATCGTTGTGTACTTTTGCGATTTTTAAAATTAAAAATCATGTTAATTAAACGGTATAAATATCAGATAAAAATAATAAAACAAGATAACTAGTCATCACCATCCCGCGCCCTAGCACTTGTTTGGAAGGCATAATGAGAAACAATTTCTTGGAAGATCAATGGGACTAGTCAGACGAGTCATTTACTCTGATCACAGTAGCTCAGCAAGGCAGGGTCGCTACTCCCTGTAAGGTTTACACAACAACCTTTGCCTACCAAACTGCTTTATGTTAAACAATAAGCTTATACATCAGAAAATAGAAATACTACAATAGGTTGATGTTTGTACAAGGTTTCAAAAAGATTTCTTGAGCGGATAATCAATATCAGAAAATAAATACTCGAATAGTTTGATGTTTGTACGTAGTTTCAAAAAGATTTCTTGAACGGATAATGAAATATGCTCCGGAAAAAAAATCAGGACGGAAGGAAGGTCATCAGAAAATAAAATAATAGGTTGATGAAATGTAAAAGTGTTATAAAGTTACCTTGAGTTTCTGTGATATGCTCTAGAATAATAATCATATACCAAAAACTATGTCAAAATGTGTGGTAAAAATTCAAAATCATTAAACAGAGAAACTTGTTTCCCTACGAAACACAAAGTTATTAAATCCGAGAAATTAGCAAAAGGCACAATTACTATAATAGGTTAATGTGTGTACAAAGTTTCATGAAGATACCTTGCTTGAATGCTTTATGAGATATGCTCCGGAAACAAAATTGTACACCCAAAACGAAGTCAAATTTGTTTCCATGGAAACACAGAAAATATAAATCCCAGATATTTCTAACAGCACACTTACTGTAATAGGTTGATGTGTATACAAAGTTACAAGGAGATATCTTTAACGTTTTATGAGACATGCTCCGGAAAAGGAATTGTACACCAAAATCTAAGTCAAAATTGTTTCCATGGAAACACAAAAAAAAAATATAAATCTCAGAAATTACTTAATAGCAAAAGGCACAATTACTGTAATAGATTGATGCGTGCACAAAGTTTCAAAAATATATCTTCAACGGTTGATGAGCTATGCTCCGGAAACGAAATCGGGACGGACGGACTGACGAACGGGCGGAGCCCATTTCAATATCCCCCCTAACTTCGTTCGGCGCGGGATAATAAAAACTATTTTTAATTAATTTCATATCACTGCATTTCAAATTAATTTTTAGCCCATCATTCTAAATTAATTTTCTTATCACTTTCAATATGGTACGACATTTCATATCACTGCATTTTGAATTAATTTGTATCATTCTAAATTAATTTTCTTATCACTTTCAATATGGTTCGGCATTTCATATCATTGCATTTTGAATTAATTTGTATCATTCGAAATTAATTTTCTTATCACTTTCAATATGGTTCGGCATTATATATTACTGCATTTCAAATTAATTTGATCATGGGTTATGTGAAACACTATTATTTTTGTTAAAATTATAATTTTTTAACTGAGAGATATTCATTATTTGTTTAAAATTATGATATTTGATTCCAATGTACGACAAGATGACTAGTCATCACTTTCCGCGCCCTACCAGTTGTTTGGAAGGCAAAATGAGAAAAAACGTCTTGGAACAGTAGCTCAGCAAGGCAGGGTCGGCTACTCCGTGTAAGGTTTGCACAACAACCTTTGCCTATCTCAATCAACTGCTTTATGTTAAACAAGAAGCTTATACATCAGAAAAAATAATACTATGATAGACTGATGTTTGTACAAAGAACGGATAATGAAATATGCCCAGGAAACGAAATCGGACGGAAGGACGGTCATCCGAAAATAAAAAAAAAATAGGCTGATAGTAAAAATCTTATAAAGGTATCTTGAACAGTTTCTGAGATATAATCTAGAATAATAATTTGTCAAATTTGTTTCCATGGAAACACAAAAATGATTAAATCCGAGAAATTTAAAACTAACAAAAGGCCGCGGAAACAAAATTTTACACCAAAAACTAAATCAAATTTGATTCCATGGAAACACAAAAAATAAAAATTCCAGATATTCCTAAACAGCACAACTACTGTAATAGGCTGATGTGTGTACAGAGATTCAAAGAGATACCTTGCATTCTTTATGAGATATGCTTCAAAAACAAAATTGTACACCAAAAACCAAAAATAAGTCAAATTTATTTCCACGGAAACACAAAAATCATTAAATCCAAGAAATTCCAAATTAGCAAAAGGCACAACTACTATAATAGGTTGAGGTGTGTACAAAGTTAGCTTCATGTATAAAGATATCTTGAATGGTTTATTAGACATGCTCCGGAAACAGAATTGTACACCAAAATCAAAAGTCAAATTTGATTCCATGGAAACACAGACAATAGAAATCCATGAAATTCCTACACAGCAAATGTAATAGGTTGATGTGTGTGCACAGTTTCAAAAAGATATCTTAAAGGTTTAAGACAAATGCTCAGGAAACAAAATTGTACATAAAGTCAAATATGTTTCCATGGAAACAGAAAAATAATTAATCCTAGAAATTTCAAATTAAAAAGGGCACAACCACTGTAATAGATGTTTATCCAAAGTTCCATGCAGATAGCTTGCATGCTTTATGAAATATGCTCCAGACACAATATTGCACACCAAAAACTAAGTCAAATTTATTTCCATAGAAACACAAAAATTATTTAATCCGAGA